TGAATGCAGTCCTTCATATATTACCCTTCATTATGTGATTTCGCTTTTCAATTCAAAAGAGCGAATTATTTAAAGCTTTTGATACGCAAAAAAAAATAATAATTTTTTATTAATTACTAATTATTCCACATAGACCAGCTTATTTATGCTATTTACAAACAATAAAAATAAAATAGTCGTCAATTTGATTAACTCGTTTAACTGATTGAACAAGTAGACCTCAATTATAGAATACACCGTGGTCAACTAACCGTTCAGATCATCCTGTCACCAATGATAACGGTTCAAAAACGGCTCGCATATAGTACAAAATCGCAACTTTGTGTTACCGCTGGTTACATGACCTAGCGCCGTCCTATCTGAAAGAGCTGCTGACGCCTTATGTACCCACTAGACAACTCCGCTCATCAGATAGTGGCAAACTCTCGACACCACGTGTTCGCCTTGAGCCTTACGGAAAGCGCACTTTCGCATTTGCTGGTCAACAATTTGGAACGCCCTTCCTGTCGATCTCAGAAACAACAAGACACTGGAGTCCTTTAAAACCGATTTAAAGACACATCTATTTCGCAAACACCTTCTGGGATGATTGTCTACCATATTTTCTAATTAATACATATTGGCTGTGTTGCTTATGGTTGAAATGGCTAGAAAGACTTTGACTTGGTATGCTTGTAATTAGTTTTTGCAGTGTTGCGTTTGTTTTAAATGTGTTAAATTATAGATTTGTTTTTTGTTGACTTTGTACCGCGCTTCGAGCCTTCAAGGATGAAGCGTGTTTTTGAAATGAACTTTATTATTATTTATTATCTTTATCCTGGTTATCCTGAAGCTGCCTCTCGTAGAGCAATTATTAATGTTAAAAGAACATGCGAAAAGGCAAGGCCTGAAATTAAAATGAAACACAGCTCGGACTAAAGGGAATGATCCGTACGTCAAAAATTTGTCGAGAAAAAGTGGTACGTGGTTTAGAAGATATATTTGTATGGACCTATTACTAGCTGAGCTAGCGCAACCGCATTGCGCGTGTAAAATACGGGAAGAGGGGCATAATCTATAATAATAATTCCAGATGCATGGACTTCTTTTGCCCACAAGGACCATGTAACATGTTGCTTTTGACAATGTCATAAAGACTAGGATTGGTGTTTTTATATGTTTGATTTTGTTAGGCTGTCCTTCGCATGCAAAGATGACCATGGCACGGGTGAGTACGCAGGTGGCCTGCCAGTCCTATTTGCGCCTGGAAAGCTTTCCCGCACGTGGGACGCTAGCGTTATTTTGGGTCCTAGTAGGATTTGAGTCGATTCTGCTTTTCTTGCCGTGCGCTTTCTTTTGGCGTGAGCGGTGCATTTATACTCTTAGGATTTAGCTCCGACAGTGAGTCTGCCACGCCATCTTGCACGGTCCAAGGCAAGTGTCTTCCAAGAATCAGGGATTTAAGTGAAACTTTTAGACAGTCCTTGAAGCATTTTTTTTCTCTGCCAAACAACTTAGCGTTTTCCACCGGAGAGTTCGCCTAACAATAGTCGTTGCGGAAGTCTGCTTTCTGGCATTCTTGTGACACCAGGCCCTGCCCATCTGGCTTGTCCTTTTTGTAGGAACATATAGGCAGGACCTATGTGACAAGGACGGTGTCTTGCCATCGTATGCCAAGAAATTTAAGTAGGCAGCGTGGGTGGATATGATTTTGCTGTCTAGCATGTCTTTTGTTAACAGTCCACGTATCGATAGTATGTAGGAGTGATGTTAATACGATTGCCCTATAAACCTTCTGCTTAGTGACAACTAGGCTGAGACCCCTTCGCTCCCACACACTCTTACATTTGCTTGGAAATTTCGGCATCATTTATTTTTGCTGACCTGGAGAGAGTTCTGCCGAAATATGTGAATTTTTCTACTGCTTGGAGATTATGTATTTCACTGATTAATATCTGGTGTTGCAAAACAAACTATATGTTATCAATTATTTACACAGTTCTGGGTTTATTATTATTACCAAGTATTAAGAGGAGGTGACTATGTGGTAGACCTTGTTTTTTTTAAAAAAATCAGTGACGTAGAATTTTGCTCTTTTGCATTTGGTGCGTACATGATCAAGCGCACGACGGGGGAAGCAGAGAATGATAGCGCATCACGGTGCGCAATGAGCGTTGGGCGGACAACATCCAGGCGGGAATTTTTATTATAGATAAGGTCAAAAGAAACCCTAAAAATAAATAAAATGAAAGATTCGAAAGCATAGTTTGTTTGCTGCAAAGTTAAGAAAAGTTGTTTCATTTTAACATATCCCTTGCAGTTGTAAGATTTTAAAAAAGAATCTCATTATATATTACATTTTTGCTGCACCTCCACGAGAAAAAACAACAACTCCGCAGTGTGCCGAAAATGCCGCCCCCAACAAATAGAGAAATAAAGTGCCACCCGAGGCAGGCAGCCCCTCCTCCCCACCCTTCAAACAGTGGGTGATGCAGTCGGGTATTATTAGTTATAAAATTTAAAAGTCATTGGTTACCTTTAAATTAGGTGGTAAACATGTGTCTCTCATCGATGATTGTTATCGGAAAACGAGTAACCTGTGCATAAGAAAATGCTGTAATGAAACCAGCGTGCGTATCACTGTAAATGTCCTGAGATATCCACAGAAGGTCGCTGATCATCGGGTTTGGCTGAACGTAAAAAGCTTCAGCTCAGATGAAGATCAGGAAGTGGGTCTATGTTGCGATGCAAGATAGAGGTCACCCGAGGGTAAGTAGGAGTCACTGGTGAGCTACTGGATCATGATTTTTTTTTTTTATTGTTATAAGGGGTGGGTAAGTTTACAAAGATTTAGCTCATATGGACATTAGGATTGGTCCTAATTGAGATGCAAGATAGAGGTCACTCAAGGGTAAGTGGAAGTAACTGGTGTTCCACTAAGTGGCGTAGCTGGGTTGGTGTCACCCGGTGCGGAAAACTCATGGAGTCACCCCCTTCTCTTCCCCCCACCCCGATTTCCACGATGGTTTTCTTCTTGTTAAAATAAGTCCTCATTATAACAATGGCAAGAACAAAAACAAATTAATTGAAGATCAGGGGGTAAATGTTTTTAAGAACTGTAACAACGTTAAGTTATAGTTATTTTACATTGAATTCAATTTATTTAAAATTTTCCTTTTCTGGTCTTCAAAGCTGCAAACCTGTCGATCAGTTGATCAAAATCAGTGTCCTTCACCGTATCATTTTCAATCGATACTAGACCCAGATCAGAAGGCCTTGACTGTCCCATGGTGGATTGTAAATAGTTCTTGATAAGCTTTAGTTTTCACAAGCTACGCTTACATGAAGCCACAGACACACGGATCGTAAATTAAACAGTTGAAGGCTTAACGAGCATGTTGGAAAAGATTCTAGGAAGTCCCATTCATTTATTAATATCAAAACCTCAAATACTGACCAATGGATGACTTTGTAAAATTCATTATCAGCTTACTTTATAAGACCACTTATTATTATTATTATTAGTATTACTTTGGGTGTCCTCTAAGCCTTGGTATTTTCTGTATAAGTTCATCTTCTGATAACTCATCATACAAAGCGTTTAATTTTGGAATGCACACATATAACTCTCCTTCATTAGCTGACAGTAGACTCTTGGTTGAACAGCCCCAAACATATGCTACTTCCTTGATCACCGATGATCCGATCTGGAGTTCAGAATGAAAGCCATCAATACACTCCAGCATGGCCCTACTGTTTTCTTCTCACAGTGAGAGTCCAGCATCTATTTATTGTTCACATGTCATTCTCTTCTTAAACCTTAATCTTCTCTCTACCGAAATTACATATTGGTCTTATTTTAAAAGTGCCTCTTTAAAAGCATGTTCCACAAAGTGACAACGCATCTCGTGCAGAAACAATCTTAACGCATCTAGGTTGATCACCACTTTGTCAAAAGTCAGGTCCTTAGCCTGCAGATACTGCTGTGTAAGATTAACTTCCTCAAGAAGATCAGCTCAAAGTAAAGCTACCAGATAAACGTAAATTCACAGACAGCATGTGGAAAGACCTTGTGCTGTACCTCTTGTATCCGAATTTTCAAGGTGATCACATAGAGCTTTAATCGCCGCCACAATTTCATCAAACTTATCTTTCAATGTTTTAACAGCAGCATGATCACACAAACGTTTTGTTGACAGAATTTTCACCGACATACCAGAGTGTTCAATTAAAGCATCACATCGATGAGTGGATGCAGCAAAGAGGGAAAATATTCTCTGAATAGTGCCGAAAAATATAATACATGAAGCTTTCTCAGCAAAAGAGTGTAATTTACTACAGTTACCGAAAACTTCAATCGACGTTGATTTATGGTCGAAACAGTGTTTTTCGGAGCTAATTATGGTGTCAAATCAATTCTGACACATCAACCTTGAACTTTTAATAAAGCAAGCATTTGGATTGGAATGTGTGGAAAATTTACATGTGATCGGTTATGCTTTTATGAAATTCGGTTAGACCGAGCAGTGTGTGCTTTGTAAACATGCAATTTTTCAATTTTGTGTAACCCCCTAAGATGGTCACCCATTTCGGTCCGCACCCCCGCACCCCCTAGCTACGCCACTGGTTCTACTGATCTTGAAAGGTTTTATTTTCGTCGGGGTTGGGTAAGTGTACACAATTTTAGCATCAGGCAGAATCAGTAATAGTAAGTCGGTAAAAAATGATATGCAAGGTTCCACCACAAACAAAATGACAAAGCAGGCAAATAAAAAGCATATAAAATACGATATAACATCAGCACAGTTTAATTTAACTTAACTGTTATTTTTTTTGAGGTGAACAAAGTCAAACAATACGTTTTCGTTTTTAAAGGTAGCTGGCAGGCTATAGGTAAGCAATGTAATTTCTAAATTTAGTAATTTGTCTATCAAACAGCGGAAATGACGTTTAACTAGCATTTTCATTTTGGATGATATCATAGTCGTGCAAGAATAGACAGCTAAAAATAAGCGAAAAATGATTGGTCGAATGTACGTCATCATCTGTTGAGTGAAAGACATGAAGCAGGAAAGACACAATTTGTTTACGAGCAACGATTGGCCGTTATTTCACTATTTTGATACAGTTTTGACGAATTTTGTATCACCAGTATTGAATGAGACATTTATCCGAAGGTAGCAAGTGTAAAAGTTATTTCATTTTGTGAAAAACGACAGTCAATTCTGCCCAGTTTAGCTGGTAAGTAACCATCGATTGCCTTTCTTCTTTGTTATGTTTGTGTCCTTGGGCTTTGCCCACGACCTCATTTCGCAGTCTTGTGGTTGGTTGGGCCTGGAAGGGCGTAAACAGACGCCATATTTGGTTTCAGAATATTTTTGTTAGCGTTAAATCGTAATGCGACAAATGTTATAATTTAGCGTATTAGTTATTGATGTAGTCTGATCTAAATTCTGCCCGATCTTGACAAATAAATTATAAAGTAACCAAACACTTTGAAGTACAAACAAAGCAACGTTGAGTGGAGCATAAAAAATAAAAGTGCAAGATGCTCAGTCAGTTCACTGATTTACTCCTGAGCAACAATATTGACACTAGTATTAACATATTTACGTATCAGTAGATGGCAAAGGTCATGGGTAGTTCTTAACTCTGTAGGGTGGGGGGGGGGGAGGGGGGGTGCCCGGGCATTAAGCACCATGTCCCATGTTTTCAAGAACTTTAGAACTTTTTGTTTTTCCCTTTAAAATAAATATTAAATTCAAACTGTAACTGTAAATGATTTTTTAAGTAACAGTAACAGACCACACATCTTTCTTTAAGTACAAAGCTTTAATGAGCATATTAAGTACAAAGCTTTAATGAGCAAAATTTAGCATCAGTTGTGAAAAAAAATGGTGTTTGAATTGCTATTTAAATGGTTGGCCAAACGGTTATTGCTCTATAGGGCTTGTCATTTAATGCAATCTATTAATAGAACTGATGTCATTACTCATCATATTACTATGTTAGCGAAGTGTTCCTGAAACTAGTTTACAACTCTATTGTATGAAATATTTTACACATTTTTTTACTTCTATTTTCTGAAATGAGACTTCATTGCACGAACGGCATATGTAAAAGTAACTCAGATACAAGGATCGTTCCAACGATATGCTGAAACACACTATAAGCTGCCATGTTTGAAGCAATATTTGTCCGCCGACCTTCTAAAAATAGTAGGCTATGACGTTTTCCGGTCTGAGAAATGACAAAGCCTATTGATGTACATTAATAGTACAATGGAGATAGCCACTGGGTTTTCCATGGTTTTGAAAATGAGGGTGGGGCGCTGTTTTCTCGTTGACATGCGATATCACTTTACAGGAGTGCATGGAGAGCTATATCCTTCCAGACTCACTTATGGTATCAGGCGGATGTGCGGCTTATGCAAAAATAAACTAGATCAGACACGGAATCTATGAACACTCAATTGTCAATCCTTATGACACTGGTGTCCACACACATCATCAGTTGCACTACAGCCCATGTAGAGCCCTGGCCTGCTCCACCACATCCTTCCACTCGGAGCGATCCATGGCTTTCCGTCTCCATGCTCGAACCCCCAACTGGTGTAAATCTGTCTCCACATCATCCATCCACCTCATCCTTGGGCGACAGGTGAGTCGTCTGCCCCTAGGCTTCTGCCTGTATATAATTTTGGCTGCTCTGCATTCCGGCATCCTTTCAACATGACCTGCCCATCGTATTCTGCCTTTTTTTAATCATTGTGACTATGGCGTCTATGGGTGGTTCTTTGTACAAATAGTAAAGTTCTTGGTTTGTACGTATTCTCCAGATATCATTTTCTATCATTGGTCCGTATATTTTGCAGAGGATTTTCCTCTCCCATGTGTTGAGCAGGTTTTCTGCTTTTCTGGTGAGGGTCCAGGTCTCACTAGCGTACATTACTACAGGTCTTATGATGGTGGTGTATATTGTCTTCTTTGTTCCCCTTGAGAGGTTTTTGTTTCCCAGTAGCTTTTGTAGACTGAAATAGGAATGGTTGCCTGCTGTTATCCTTTCTTTCACCTCTGACATTATCTCATTGTGCTCATTTATAGTTGCCCCTAGATATTTGAATGTAGCCACTCTCTCAAATTTGTGGTTGTTTATATTGATGTTATTATCAGCATGGGAGTTTCTTGACATCATCATATATTTTGTCTTCCGTTCATTTATATCAAGGCCAGGTTTCAATGAGGCATTTTCAAGTTCCCTGAATGCTTTAATTATGTCATTACGGTTTCTACCCAGTAGTGCTATATCATCTGCATATGCCAGGTACTGCAATGGTTGGCTATATAAGGCTCCTGATGGTCGTTATTCTGTAGTATCTCTCTGGAAGTAGTTTGTTATGGTTCCACTGGTGTTAATGTGTATGTTTCTAATAACTTTTTCTAGCGTGATGTTAAACAGGATACATGATAGTGAGTCTCCTTGTCTGAGGCCCCGATTAACTAGGAACTCTCTAGAGTATTCTCCCTGTACCTTGATTCTACTTTTGGAGTTGGCCATTGTCATATGTATGAGCCGAGTAAGCTTGTTAGGGACTCCCAAGTTCTTGTAGAGTATTGTATAAGTAATTCCTGTTTACGCTATCGTATGCTGTTTTGTAATCCACATATAGTTGGTGTATGTCGATGTTATATTCGTAGCATTTCTCCAGGAGAGATCTTATATTAAAAATATGATCTGTGGTTGACCTATTCTGCCGGAATCCACATTAATAGTCCCCCAGGATTTGTTCACTATACTTTTCCAGTTTTCTCGCTATAAGTTTTGTGAGGATTTTGTACAGTACGTTAAGAAGGGAGATACCTCTATAGTTTGAGCAGATCAACTTAGATCCCTTTTTGTGGATTGGGATGGTGAATGCCGTGTCCCATTCATTTGGCATTTCTTCCTCCTGGCAGATTCTGGTTATAAGTTCGTGTATTTGCCTATGCAGTTCGTTACCACCTAGCTTTATGATTTCTGCGGGGATAAGGTCTGTTCCTGGGGCTTTGTTATTTTTCATGGTGGAGATTACATCTTTTATTTCATTTAATGTTGGTTGGTTGACCAGTGGGTCCGATCCTCCTTGTGGCGGGGCGTAATCCTCATTGGTTCCTCCACCTGAGCCATTCAGTAAGCCTTCAAAGTGTTGTGCCCATCTCTCTAGTACTCTACTGCTCTCTGTGACCAATTCTCCATCCGTGTTTTCACACATGTGGGATCTTGCTTGAAAGCCATTCTTTTCCTGCTTTATCTTCAGATACAGTCACATCTCTTTCTTTTGCCAACTCTTCTATCTCTACTATTTTTTATATTTCCCAAACACGTTTTTTCTTTCTGCAAATTTTGCTGGCCACCTTTCTTGCTTCATTATATAATTGTCATGTTCTTCTTGTTTCCCTTTGCAACATCATTAGCCAAGCTTTGTTTCTTTGTTCTATAAGTTCTTTGCATTCTGCGTCATACCATCCTGTTCTTTTCACTGCTGGTTTAAATCCAATCGTTTCCTCTGTTACACTTGTAACTATTTGCTTCATCTTTTCCCATTGCTGGTTTATATCAACGTTGCTGGCTGATTCTCTTTTGGATAATTCTTGTAGGGTTTCAATCTTCTGTTGATATTCCTCAGTAATTTTTGGGTCCCTACTCAGTTTCTGACTATTGTACGTTTTTCTCTTTTATTTTGTTTATTGTGGATGTTACAAATTCTTTGCTTATACTTGACTCTAACAAGTATGTGGTCTGAGTCTATGTCCGCCCCTCTACAACTTTTCACATCTGATATGTCCGAGTCATGCCTCCGGTCGATGAGTATGTGGTCTATTTGATTACGGGTAAATCCATCTGGAGATATCTATGTCGCCTTATGTATTTGTTTATGTTGGAACACTGTGCTACTGATTATCATTCCTTTTCCAGAAGCGAAGTCTATAAGACATGTTCCGTTGTCATTGCTCTCATCATGCATACTTTCCTTTCCGATTGTTGGTGGTCTGTAGACTAGTTCTTTCCCACTTTTCGCATTGAAATCGCCAAGAACAATTTAGATATCATGTCGTGTTGCCTCATCAAATACTCTTTCCAGTGTTTCGTAGAAAGTTTCCTTCATGCTTTCATCTGTATCTTCCGTTGGAGCATGTGCGCAGATTAACATGATTTTAAACATTTTTCCTCTAATCCTTATGGAGCATAATCTTTCACTCACTGGTTTAAACCCAATGACCGCACTTACTGTCTCTCTTTTGACTGCAAACTCTGTTCCTAAGGTATTTGTGTTGTTTCCACTGTAGAATATTGTATATTCCTTTGTATTTAGGATATCTGAGTCTTTCCATCTAATCTCCTGTAATCTTAAAATTGTTCAATTTTAAAAATTAGCAAAGGGCCTACTTGACTTGAAAAGTTCCATTTAGACCTTGTTAGTTTTATAAATTAATTATAATTATTATTTGTTTAATTTCTTATGTACACAGAAAAGATTTATTTACATATACAGAAGTCTTGACAAACTATAACCAGACAATCCACCCAAAAATATTATTTTTAATTCTATTTTCTAAAAAAAATTTATAACTGCTTTAAATAAATAATGGGTATGTAGTTTCCACAGATATCTAAAAATCAGATATCATTATTTTGGAATTTTTCAAAAAAAAATTCGATGTTAAGTTAGAATATCTGGTTGAGCATTACTACTCTTTAATGACCAATTCAATACCTATATTTCTTTATAGTGCAACACCACCTATTATAATGATGCGATGGCACACTTGAAATTTCTGAAATTTGTATAATTTTCATTTCAAAAATGATTTAAAAAATTATTAAAAAGCTAAATTGTTTCATTTGAGTAAGATATTTTGTAATGATCATAACACTAACACAAAATCAATTTAAAAAAACAACTGCAAATCTTACTTTATATCTATTTAAAGAAATGAAAATTCATATGTCAGTTAGGGAATACCTGTTACAATTGGTTCCAGTCAAAAAAGTAATTTTCTATACTATTACATATCATATTGGATATTTCCATAAATTCTGCTGACATCATACATTATTATTATTTCAGTTCTTTGTTAGGACTGAAACTGCTAAAATTCCATATTCTTTTTTTAGATCATGCGTCATGCTGTCTAATAAATAAGTGGTCATATGCAATCTAGTATTCTCATTTTCATGAAGTTCACATTGAAAACTAAATGGGTCAAATAGTAAAAGATTAGGATTATAATATAGTGATAGATTGTTTTTAAAAGTAACCTGTATTTTTAATTGTTTAAGTTAACTTTATTTTAACACTATTTAAAATAAAATAAATTCATTAATGGATTTAAAATATTGCTATCTGATAAAGTTCTAGAGGCATGAACATTGATTTTTTTACTTCATAATGCAGAAAAAAAATATCCTCAGCAGCTTTTAGGACACACGATAACTTGTACAATGTACCCATAGGTCAATAAATATCATATTTCTAATTCAGGATCTGAGTAAAGATGCCTTCAGCAGCCAGACAGCGGCTTCCTACTGATTTATGGCGCCAAGGGCAGAGAAGGCACACCAGTGTTAGCCCAGGTTTGTTCTTTCAGAGTCAGGAGATGCAAGCGAATCCTGGTAACTATGATGTCTTCCAGGAAGAAAAGCGCCAGTGCAATAACAAAAACAAATCCCATAAAAGGCATTTCAGTGGCAGAGGAAGTCCCAGATCTTTGCCTCGGAGAGGTAGTTCAGACACACTGAGCACCATGGTACTAACAGACTCTTATAGTAATTGTTGCAATATCAGTAGCAATGCTGTGTTGTCTAGCTCTGATTCAGAGAGCTGCCTCAATTATGATCCTTCCAAAGTCTGTGATGCTTATGCAATGGAGTCTGTTGCACCACATCCAAGCCAGCTGCCCTTTCCACCACTTGAATGGTTGCAGTCTTCATCTTTTCGTGCATCATCTCCAACTGTTGTTAGTGGATTTTCTCTTAAAGGCTTCTTAGGCTGTCATCTGGCTGCTTAATAATGAAAGAAGCTAATGGGATAATGGATTCAATTGACTCGTACAAATGGACAACGAATATTGAATATCGCTCAACTGATTGCCAAACAGATATTTTTTATTATTGACTGAAATTTCACATCTACGACTTAAGTTTTGTTATATTAGTTTAGGTTTAGGTCCATTTCCAGAGCTAAATTATCAGTGGTTGATAACTAAATTACATAACAATTTAGACATAATTTTTTTAAACAAAGTGTGTTGAAAAGCATTACACATTCATCAAGTTCGGTTTATTTTGATCATTCTTAAAAAACTCTTTATTGGACTACATTTAATATTCACTAGTATAATTTGATATGAATTTATAAATATCTTTCTATGACTCCTTGTGGTAATATATCCTCTCATTTTCATTATGTATGACTATGACAAATTTGAAATCTTGTTGCTACTAATTAAGATGTGTTCATGTTAAATATGTGACTTAATTTTTAAATGGCTTGTAGACAGGTATTTTTTTGTTAGTGTAATATTTAATGACATCGAAGTGTGTACTTTGGGTATTATATTTGTTAGGCTAAATTGCAGATTTCCATCAAACTATGTTGGGTTATTTTATATTGTAGACATTTTAAAATTTATTATCAGAAATTTCTTACGTTGTAGTTTTACTTTAAAAAGAAAAAAGTTTTTAATACTGAATCGGTTATTACACATTAAGTTTTTTAAAATTTTCTTTGCCCATTCGAATACATCTGTTGGGATTATCATATAATTTGCATTAATTTTTTTTTTTGCCTTAATTGTTTTCTCAGATTTTATCATGTCAATCGTAAAAATTAGACAACATTTTCAAGAAAATTTTGTTTTCCCTAAAAATAAGATTTAAATAAAATGCCCATGTTTGGATTTGTACGTTAAGTCAGCACTTTACATGCTGCATCTTTTTTAAAACTAGAAATTACCACAGTTCCTTATTTTAAGGAGACAAAATTTTCTTATTTATTGAAAGTCTGATTTTTAAATGTCTAAGGCTGTGTGATATGAGAGAAATGTATTTGTCTTGCACACATTCCGCATTTGTTGATGGTGCTTCTAAACAAAAAGTTCTAGGGCACTATGCCCACGGAAACTTACATGACTCACAAATGAGATCACTTGATAAAATAATCATTTATTGAAGTGACATTAAACATATCAAATGGGATCAAGCTAGAAGTTTCAAGCCTGGCTAAATGTGCAAATGCGGCTGTTAAATCTGATGCTTTTCATTTGGGATTTGTTTATATTGTACATTTCACTGATTAAAGTTTTATATGTCATCCTTCATTCATCTAAGCGGCCAGTAAAGTGTTGGCTTTAGCATCATTGTTGGCTGAGGACTAAGAGTATTTTTTATGAAGACTTTTTACCTTTACACATTTTAGTGTGAAAAAGCAGAATGTTGGTTTACTGGCAGCACTATTGTGTTGCATGTTTTGTTTTTTCATGACAAAATGTTTTTCGTTATGCATCATTTCATAGTGCTGAGCTGTTTAAGTAAAACATTCAAATTTTGTTGATAGTTATCTTATTTAAGTTACCTTATTAATCTTCTGAGAGTATTAATTCAAAGAAAAAACATGCTTTATAATAGAAATTTAAAAATGAGGGGAAAAAAAAAAAAGAAAAGAATTAAATCAATTTGAAGGTAATTAAGTAATAATTTCTAAACATGGGGGAAAAAAGATTAAAGAAAAAAAAATTATCCCCTTTTAAAATGTTATCTTTTCTCATCTTAGCTTTAGTTGTCTTTGATATAATTTACTAGAATTTAAGTTAGTCTTATACCATTTCTGAAATGCTCTTTGTGTACTCTTAGTTTGTTGAGGTGCAATGTTATAAAGTCTAAACTGTCAGTAAGATGTTAAATTACTCCAATTTTTTTAAGGAAAACACATTGGTGTTAATTTATTCTTATTTGAATGTATAACACCTACGCTGATTGTTAAAGATGCGGAGAACTCTCTCTCTCTGATAATTTTTTTAATTGTTAGATGATGCCTCAAACGATTGATGTTAATTTGTACTGGGTTTGATTTAAAGATTATCTGCACTACACTAGTGGTTCTGATGAAGTATTGACCTGAAGACTGTGTGACATAGACTGTTATACTAAATGATTACTGTAACAGAAAGTGAAGACCTTTGAAGGATTCAGAGAGGTGATGATTTTTCTTGAGATGCATTATTATGGGATCATGATAACTGTACTAGAGACTTTGATAAATACTGTATGTATAGTTTATGACTGGCATTTAATGCCTTCTACTTCTGGCCGTTACAGATTTCATCCATCATATTTCATACTGTAAATTTTATTATCCATGCATTTGTATATAAGGTTTATTACCACAAGGACTCACTCTTTCTTTGCAGCCGTCTATCTTTTTTTTTTTTGGGCCCTCTTTAGGGCCCTCCAAATCCCAGAAGCTATTGGTCTCAAGACTAAAATAACCATCAATATTCTCCTGTTAACTATCCTTTCCATCATTTTCTGTTTTCGGTTGTCTGTTTGTTAACTATTTCTGTGATAAAAAGCAAAAGGTGACCTGCTTGCTACGAGATTAATTAAAAAGACGTGGATACAAAATTCAAATAAGCATAATTTGACATTTCCTTGGTACTGATTTTCAAGAGCATCAGTAAATTACATAGCCCTTAATATTTAAGTTTGTCATTTAAAAAAAGGAAATTCTAGTCTTCAAGTTCAAGCTTTGGCTATTCTTTAAACTTTTACAAATTGGGCAGATAATGCTTTACCGCTTTTCAGCACTTTAAATGAAGTTAATCATGTTACTCTTACTTGCGAAAATAACTGGGTATCCATTTTCTACTTGAAGCTTGCTAAGTATACCTTTAAAGGGACTGCAAAGATGTGAAGGATAGCAAGTTTTTCAATATGGCCACCTCTTTGCAGATACAAGGTAAAGATTCTCTTTCATGAACTTCCATTGGTTATTGATGAAGCCTTGACATTGCAACAGAAAAATAGCCTACAGCGGCTAGCATTACTAGCAATTGCCATTCACATGCCGGTAAGTTTGAGTTAGGACTAACAATCTTAAATGAAATTTCATGTAGCAAGAAGCAGATTGCCCTCAGTACAGAACCTGGCAGTAGATACGAACTTCGCATAACTTGGGTCTAAAATTAATATCTCAAATTCACTCCATCATAGATCAATGAGGATGTAAACAAGTTTGCCAAAGCAGCAGCATTCATGGCTAGATAAAACAAGCCAGTTTAAACAACTTATACCACTCAGAAAGGACAAAAGTTTATCAAAGTTTATGTACCAGGTATGGTAGTGACCTGTTGACTGCTAACGCCGACAATGAGGGGAAACTAAACAGCTTCCGCATAAGATGTCTGTGGAGCATTTGATGGCAAGAAAAAGTTCATCAAGACCCTGGAACATACCAAAATAAGCAGCATGTTCTCCTCCCTTGGCAAAGAGCACCTTCACTGACTAAGCCGTGTAAGAAGTATGGACACTGGCTGCATTTTTACAAATTACACCTCTAAAGTGTCAGTGAAAAGAAGCTGCACCATTTCTTATGAAGACTGACGGTCTGCTCATGATCTATAATACTTAATATACCAATTTATCAAAATCGTAGTTAACATAGATGCAGAATTAATGTTTAATTATTGGTTGTATATTAACAATTTTAAAAAAAATTAAACAGCATGATCTCTTTATTACTAAATATTAGTGCAGTCTTCTGACGGTTTGGAAAAGTTTAAATTACTATTTTGGTTTATTTACCTCTATAGACCTCTTCAGATTTCAGTGTTTTCAGATTTTTGTCTTCATAGGATAGTAGCCATAACATAATGTTGAAGATATTAATTAATATATAACAAAATTACAATCCAGTTGATAAAACTTGTCATTTACATAAATATCCTGAAAGGTCCACAAAAAGAACTTTCCAAAAACAACTAAAATAGTTTCCATTACTCTGAGTGCCAATCATGAAGTACTTCTAATTCTAAGGATTTTTTAAGATCCCAAACCTAGGATTAGGGTTATTTTGATTCATAAAAAAAATGGAAATCAGGTTTAACACATCTTTTTAAAAAAAAAAAAAAAAAAAGATTGCTGGTACCTTAATTTCAATGCAGTCTGGCAGTCCTTAAGGATTTTTTAAGATCCCCAACCTATGATTAGGGTTATTTTGATTCATAAAAAAAATGGAAATCAGGTTTAACACATCTTTTTAAAAAAAAAAAAAAAAAAGATTGCTGGTACCTTAATTTCAATGCAGTCTGGCAGTCCAAAAGGTGTATTGTAGTTGTAATGAAGTTTAGGCTTGCAATATAATTAAGTACCTGGGTTAAGTCTTATAATAAGAATTCAGAATGCTGATCTGATGGAGTCCCAGGGAAGTCTTGAATAAGGCACATGGAACTAACTTATGTGACATTGCTGTGAGAAAAGTTTAACCTAGGATCTGTACTGCCAAAGGCCTCCACTGGAAGTTTCCCTCATAATTTGTGTAGTGTTAATGAAATGAACACTGACCTAAGCAGTTACCATATGTGATGTCAATAAATAAAATGAGTCATATTCTCTCATTATGCTCACATCAAATTCCTGGGGTAGGGAAGCTAAAAGAATAATTGATATTGTCACACAGGTCCAGTGTATGTCCAGTTGGCACCAATAGAAAAATATATATTTACCGGTACTTATTAAATTGCTTTTTTGTTGTTACGGATCTGTTCAAACCATCCTATTTGATATGTGCTACCATATGTTCGTTGTATTATTTCAAAATAATCGATGTATATTTCAAAAAGGAAACAGATTGATATCTCGCCCAGTCCTGGTTAAATATCAAATGAGTAAAACAGATTTACTCATTTTATATTGTGCTAACCTGATTGTAGTCTCTCCCCTTATTACAAAATATTACCCAGTCCTCGTTATTCCCAAAATAGTACAAAATCGTTTCGGAATAATGCTTCATCTCAAAATCATACATCATGTATCGTAAATAAATATAATAAAGTATAAGGCCTAATGTATTGTGTACAAATATAGTAAAATAACTATTTGAATCGCAGGTTTTTAAAAAAAATGGTCACACCCGCACCCCAGATGACTGGTTTATATATTTACATACATTGCTTTATTGCAATTTGCCCATCATCACCGCTTTGATAACTAAGATAGGGTAGGGGAGCAGAAATCGTGGATGAGCCATAGTTCTACCGGTGTCAGGGTACAAATTTAGTAAAAGACATCTCAAAATCATGCATTGTAAATCAAAATCATCAGAGTAACTCACTAGGTCTGGTGAGTGGCCTGAGGATTTCTATAACAGTACTATAATTTAATTAATATTACTAATAGTATAAGTATAAGGTTTCTGAAATGAGAGGAAGTTGGTGTGAAATTTGTAAAAGACAAGTTCAGGACAATTGGTTAAGAACATTTATTTGCTCTCAAAAACCATAAGGTTACAAAAGCAAATTATGAAACTGATTTAATAAACAATCATTAATATCTTATTGTCAGTACATAGCAGAAATGGCATAATAATAATATATAAAATATTTACAGTACAAAACATGTTAAGATTACATTACAGATACCAGTACAAAATAAGCTGCATTCCTCAGATCTTTAGATGTCTTTTGTACTGGTACCCAAGAACAAATTGTAAATGCAGTGAAAGTTTTATCATTAGGAGTTTAAATGTCAAAATGTCAATTTACTTTAAGTTTTTAAAAATGTGTATTTACAGAATTTTCATATTAAAAGATATGGTTATTCAGAAATTTGAGTCATCTAGATTAACGTAAAAATTTTTTTAAAGAGATGTGAGAGAAAGATGAGAAAAATCATAATAATAAATCTGCCTTTTTATTTTTTAATCTATTCAGTGAAATAATGTCTTTGTTTTAATTTGATAAAATTCAAAAGAACAATTAATGATTAACACCTGTTAACATAATTCCCTTATGACATGTCACGCTAGGTGAGAGGTTTACACAAATGGAAGACAATATATTTCATAAGTTTTTCAAAAAATATGTAAAAGTAAAAGACTTAAATTTATGTTACCTTTCATAAAATTAATTTATATCTTACAGATTACATTGGTACTGTACCGGTACTGAAGAAACACTTTCACTAGATTTGAGCTAGCTGAACAGATTTCAATATTTAAATATTCCTGCAAAAAAATGTGGTTTTCGGCATGATAAAATAAATGAATGGCTCAATTCTATTCTGTTTACACTGTACTACTTTGTATTTTTTTTTACCATTAAAAGTTAAAAGTAATTGATAAATGTATGTTACCAGTATTTTAATTCTTAGCAAAAGCACCTTTGCATCATGCAGTTTCAAGTAAGTCCGGGATAAATAATGCAAAGTCATATTGTGATTTCTATGTATCTTACAAGTTTGTTTTATAGAAACATAACTTCAAAACTTTTATTTTGCTAACAATTTTAAATTTTTAAAATACAATGAGTAATGAAGTATATTGTCTACTACCAGTATGTAATGAACACTACAACAGTGTTTCCTAACCTGGGGTGTGAGGTGGCTGTAATATTAATTAAAATTAAAGAACAGAGTATCCATTAACTTTTACAAATAAATTTAAAGTCCTTTTTCAATTTTTAAAATGCTTTGTTATAATTGTAGTGGGTGCAACGCTTGTCAAACATATTGTGGGGGTTGCAAGACCACACAAAAGGTTGGGAAACACTGATCTGTAACTACTACTTGCTTCACTCACTCAAATGTTATTTACAAAGCCAGTCACAATATACAGAGCAAAAATGTGCAAAATAATTAAGTCACAAAAATATGAACAGATTTTGATGAAACTAAATGAAATAAATGCACAAAGTATATACACAGTAGGGTTTTATTGAATATTTTGATTTAGCACCGAATAGTGAAATTTAAAAGGTAAAAGCTATTGATTCTGGTTTATAAATTTATACCAACAGTAAACAGAGGCATTAAGTATCACCCCACAATGATGAAGCACCCAGAATGTCCGAAGGGCAATATTACATTGAAATCAGTGCTATTAAAAATAAAGACAATACCGGTAGAGTATCAAATTTTGTTTAACTGCAAGAATGGTCTATTTTTTTGGGACTTAAATTTAATATTCAATAGCTGCATGATTCATGGCAAAATATTCTTTTGCAAAATGGATTTTCCATGTTACAACAAATACAGTATATGAATGATATAATGTCTCATTGGAATTAATGAAAATGGTCAGTTTCCCACCCTACATGCACCTGGAAAATGTATAATTATAAATAATGCACAGCTTATCAACTTATTAAATAAATATTAACTACGTACATATTATGTTACTTAATTTAAAGGACATGCTACAACCTTTAAAAAATGTTTAAATTTGTTTCAGATGAGTTGAAATTCAGATAACTTCACATTTCATTCACAACAGTACCAATCAAATCACAGTCAAATGAACTGCTAAGTACAAGTTCCAGCAGTACCCACAAGTAGATAGCTAATATTTAGGTTTTGAAGTAAGATTAGCAGAAGGCACAACACTACTGCGGCAATGTGGTCGAGACAATCCAATCTGAAACAAAGGAAAATAGTTTTAATGAAATAAAAATTATTGAAGACATCTTACACCATTTAGAAATCAATAAATGATAACGCAGTAATAAGGATGTAGACAAATTATTGATTTTTAAATAATGCAATTTCATGAAGAATATATTTACTTAACTTTTAAAAAGCTTACAATTTTTTTTATATAGTAATAGTAAATGCATTGTTTTTTTTAGCAGTACCCGGTAGCAGGATTTTATTTTGTATCCTAATTAAAACCACGTCCAAAGCATATTAGAAGAAATAAATTGTTTATAATATTTTAATACACACTAGCCTGTAAGGTGGCATCTATAAGTTTTAGCACACTAAAAAATGGATAAAATAGCATCTTCACTATTCAACAGGAAACACAACTTTTAAGGTACAGGGTGTCCATAATATGTTATGAGCCCTGGTGCAAAAAGTTAAAGCTCAGGAAGGGAGCAGAATTTGTATTTTTAAATGAAAGAATTTCATGAATTATTAAGCTGAAAGAAGTCAATAAGACTGCTTTCTGTGTACAGTATGGATTGCAACATCATGTGTGGATGTACATCTAATACTTTAATTTAACTGTCTCCAGTTTCTCAACTATCTATTTGATTTGTAGCCAAAATTTGAAATCCCATCATAAAGGACTACCCGGTATGACATAAATTTTTTAAAAACTATTGAAATAGGAATTGCTAGAAATATCAAAATGAACTGCAGTTTCATTACTGGTTCCACTGATACCAGGGGACAATTGAACCATTAATATAAGTATAAGTTAAATAAGCTGACATAGCCTGACCTTGCCAACTATGTCCATAAATTAATTACCGGTATTCCCTTTTTTAAGAGTGCAAGTTTCAAAAGGCATAATTACAGACCTGTTTACCCTAAAACTCTTAAAATCGTACAATATCAACACAAAATCTTTCAATACATTATCTTAATTATTATATATAATGTATGCACCTAAAAATCATACACTGTACGCCAAAATCCTAAGAGTAAACAGGTCTGACATTATTCAACAAAGAGGAACAGATTTTTTTTTTTATGTGGTTGTAGACCATGTTAAAGATTTATTTAGATCAGAACAAGTCATTCCTTTTCACCAATGGGAAACATCCAAAAAAAAAAAAGGACAATGGTAGCAAGGTAAAGCATGCCAAAATTAGCATGCTCACCAGATCATTTAAAATCCCTAAAATTGTTCATTTTTTTTTTTTATGTGGTTGTAGACCATGTTAAAGATTTATTTAGATCAGAACAAGTCATTCCTTTTCAACAATGGGAAACATCCAAAAAAAAAAAAAGGACAATGGTAGCAAGGTAAAGCATGCCAAAATTAGCATGCTCACCAGATCATTTAAAATCCCTAAAATTGTTCAGCACTTGGCGAAGAAGCTTTGGATGCACTCACAAAATTCTAGTTATACAAAAAAAATGAAAAGTTATAAAAATACATGAAAATTAGAGCTATTGTTACTGTATATGATTTAGCAAGAGAAATAATTTAATCCCCTATCATTTTTTAAAAACTTTAAGGCTAATGTATACATTATTTTTATTACAGTAGATATTTTATGACCCTTTCAATGCCTGGGAGAGTCCATGTTTGCATGTTTATTCTAGACAATCTATCTCATTTACTCTTATACTTATAGTTACAATGGAAGACCTTCTACTCATGAAAGAAAATTACATTTCAAGCGCATTCATTTTAAGCTTTATAAATTTTAATGCTTTTTTATTAATAGAAAAATATACTAATATTAATAATTCATAGATAAAGCCGACACAAAGGCTCTTAAAAGGAACAGAAAATTAAAATGCGCAGTACTTTTTTAAATAAAAAAAACAACATATAATTTAGATTATTTTAAGTTTAAGGGGGGAAAAATTCAAAATAATAAAAAATAAAATCTAAATATTGCAACAGTAACCATTTGGTTCTTAAACCAGTCTAGTTTTTCTAGGTTATATATAACCGACACCAAACCTCCCAAATGAAAGCAACTTTCAAAATCTACTTGCTTTAAGAACCAAAATGTAGCTGTTATTTTCAACATAACAGAACAATGCAGCACCAATTTAAAAAATATATAAAAAGTCTTGTCTTTGAAGGCATGAGTTCAAAGAAAAAAAAAAAAAAAACCCAAAGAACTTAGCACTCTCCAATAATTGGAATAACCACCCACTCCCCCAAACAAAAAAAAAAAAAAATTGCAAAAAAAAAAAAAAAAAAAAACAAAAAAAAAAAAAAAATTTTTGTCTTTGAAGGAAAGAGTTAAAAAAAAAAAAAAAAAAAAACCCAAAGAACTTAGCACTCTCCAATGTTTGGAATGACCACCCACTCCCCCAAACTAAAAAAAAAAAAAATTGCAAAATGAACTAAAAAGGAATTCAAAGGGTTGACAAAAACTATACCATCCTTGGATTCACAGAAACTTAGATTTCAACACTGTCTTATTTATACTGCTTGAAAACTATCTTGTGCTGCATTGTGGAGGAAACAACAAACACATTACAAAAGATAAGCGTACAGCAAAGTCATGGTAGGATCCGTGTGAAGCCAGGGTTGAAGTGCCATGATCTTCGCTGCTTACCGTCGTGTGCGAGAATACTTCACGCGATTTGCGCCGACTGTTGTTTCCTTTGCGCTCTGTTGCTGCCCTTTTCATCAACCGCACTGACCTTCTCTTTTTCCCTGAAGTATTATGAGGAGTCTGACCAAAGGAGAAAAAAAAAGGGAAACTTAGTATGGTGGAAATTGTGTTTTAAATTTTATTTATATCCATGTTATGGCCAAAAAATATACCTGACAATAAAAATCTTCCAGCTTACATATCTTTGTTTATGCAAGCTAGTAATAATTCTAAATTTTAGTTGCTTATTTCATTGTCAGTGGCTAAGAGTAAGACATTATTGTTTCTTTTTTTCATCCTCTTAGAAATATTTGGCTACAGCATAACTGTAATACAAAAAAAAAATCAAAGAAAGATGCCAGATCTGTATACAACTTAACATATGCAAAATCTTTTAAATGGACTTAAATGTTGATTAGTAAAAACAACAAAAATTGTCAAGTTAATATATGCAGGCGGTTTAAGCTTCTGTGTACCTTAGGAGTGTACAGAGGCTGTCTGCCGAATGGTGAATGCATCACAAGTGTTGAATGATAATTAGGCAATCTGCTAGTAGTGTTAGGAGTCTTTGGCATTTCATTGAGCTGTCAATTGGGACAAAAAGTTAACAATTGTTAGCATTGAAAAAAAGTTAAAGTATTTGATTTAAAAAAAATTCACCCTGCTGTATTGCACTTTAACTTTCACAGACAAAGTGGGACTTGACTCAACCTTTGAAAGATAATATTCACCTTTGAATGCTGTAACACACTGATACAACATGAAAATATACATATATATTTTTCCAATTGACCCTTTAGGCACCAATAAGATGCAAGGAAAATAGAAAACACATTGTATGTCTACAAAAATTGGAAACCCAGATTCAAATGTACCTGTAAGATGTTGTATTTACTTAACGTTTTGATGCACCACACATCTTTTGATTATAATTATAGCTGAAATTGCTAGTCATGATTGGATTCACTATTTAAATTTATTAAGGGTCTCGTCTAGTTATATTTCACATTTGACTCTGCAAGTAAATACGGAAATAAATTATTTTCACAACTCTATATGAATCTGAAATTTTTAACTCTTATTACGGGCTCAATAATTTGCAACCTTAAGACAATGATATATATATTTGTATAGGCTTATTCTTGTAGCCCTCACATTAGCCTTAAAATATTTCTATGTAAAAAGGATAATTCAATTAATTTTAACATTTAGATAATTTTTGCCTCAGACCAGAAAGGGAAATCTGAACATATAAAAGCAATTTCGCAAATATGAATAAATTTAATATAATTTTTTTTTTCAATGGTCAAGCAAGTAGGGTCTTTTCAATAATATTTTTGTGTTAAAATACCAATCACAAGCCTTCTTGCAACAGCTAAACAATATACAATTCAAGAAAACAAGTGCCAGCAGTGTAAATGTGATTTATTCACTATTAAAAATTATACCGGTACAGTTTTGTTTGTGCTAAATGTTATTGCTCAAAGGTGAACTCAATCCTGACATTGATTAGCATATTTGAAAATAGTATTCCAAGCTAAATTTATTTGATTTTAAAAACATAAAACATACCAGCAATCTAAAAATGTGACTTTAAAAATCACAGATGGCTTATGTTTTCTAGAACAGAGGTTACAAAAAATTTTAAATGACATTTCACAGGGTTTTTTAAAAAAAGGTACAAAGCACATTTAAATAAAAACTATGAACTCATACAACAATAAAAGTAAAGATCTAAAAAGCAAATGTAGACATATTCGCTAGTTAAATTATGGCTAGAGCAATCAATCTCCTGTACAACTGATTATATACATATATATTTCATCACTAAATGGCACAATTTTATACAGAACATAATGGCTTTTTTTTTTATTTTTAAAACGATTTTTGCTCCATTTATAATTTACAAACCTTTCTAGCTTTTAAGGGTGTTCGACTGGGTGTAGTGACAGAGGGGACCTTTCGTTTACTAGGTGTCTGGGAGACAGATTTACTTCCATAAAGCATCTCATCTTGAGTTTGCTTAGCACGTGCCTTGAGCTGAGGACCAAGTTTCTTAAAAATTTTATGGGTAATTAATTAAAAAGTCTAGAAATTATATTTTGAACTTAAAGCCAGTACCGGAATTCACCCATTATTTAAAATTTCAAGACAATAATTTTTCAAATATTAAAAAAAAAAATGTAAAAAATTGGGTGGTTATTGGTACTGACTCCACAAGCACTTAAGCTGCACTTGGGTAAGATCAGCATTTTTAATATATCTATGTTCTACGCCTTGTGTTATTGCGATTTGTTTTCTTTTAAATTTGAAGTTTCCACAGTTTTTAGTATATTTCATTTTAGTACACACTACATATGACTGTGGTCTACTTGAATAAAGTTTATTTGATTGCAGATGACATAAATGCAATCACTTCAAAAAAATCAGTGCCAAAGAACAAATAGTCTATATAATGCAAGCTAATTTTGAGAAAAAATGGCTTGATATAATATAAACTGAATAGATTTTCACTTAAATGCCTTTAAAAGCTATCAATTAATTCAACTGTGGAATTTAGAAACTAAAAGCTCTTAAAATGAAATTTAATAGAACAGACCAAAAATAATGATTTTTTTTCAGACTGAATTATTAACTCTATAGTTTGTAAAATAAAATTACTCTAGATTGTTTCTGCTGCTCCTTATGTAAATGAAAGTCCTCCCACTGTTTCTCAACATACTGTGGAAAGCGCATGCCGTTAACAAGAAATTCTTTTCCAGACTCCTTTTCCCACTTTGAAATGGATTCACCAACATCTTCTTCAACCTAAATTCATGAAAAGGAGAGTATATGTTGAATGTTTGATCATTTAATGAAGGTTGTACAATTATTTTCTATTCTTTAAGTTTAGGCTCCATTTTTAGAAATCAAATCCGTTGCTCACTTTAATTATGTAAAGGAACTTCTGATTTAGTACATTCATAGAAGCTTTTATAATTTTAAAAAATCTCCAATTATCAATCCAAGAGGGTAAACAAACCTTTGGTAAATCCTTCATAAGTTTTTTTCTTGCCTTTTCTTCCTGCAAGAGTTTTCCACCTCTGTCATTAAAGAACCTATTGGGATCACTAGCTTTTTCCTAAAATAAAATACACAAGAATCTTAAGCAAATTAAAGCTGAAAATTCATATGTAAATATAATTTAATTATAAAAATGTCAAGTTACATTCACCATAAACAAATTAGTTACAGCTAAGTGATTACTAAAGATATAATTTAGATATGAGCATAAATTTGTTGTTTGAAAGATTATTAACTAGGTTGACTCTTTAAAAACTAATAGTTTAATTAGTTTCTTATGAATTTCTATTTATTTGATTTTAGTTCAAGACTAATATCAGTTTTTATTGTTATTCAGTCATTCTACTAAAGCTGTAATAAAATTGACTGTTTGTTGTTTGAGCAATGGAAAGTTATCGCTTCAAAAATAAAAACATTTGTTACGGTACATAATTGTTCCAACAGGAGATTTTCCAAATTTCAGAGCAGATGCTTAGTTTTTACACAAAAAATGAAACCATAAATAAGTGAAAGATTTACCTCAAAGACCAGCATATTTTTAAACAGTTCCTCTCTTCTAGCAATTTTTTCAAGCAGATCTTTATGCAAATTGTAGTATTGTCTTAGTTTTTCTAATTCATCCTCATGAGCTTTCAGCAATTCTTCTGTACATTCAGCTGTAAGTATAATTTTAAACAATCAATCATGTTAAAAATTAAAATAAAAAGCATACACAGGATTGGACATAAGGTTTCAAATCATGCAAAAAATGTGTAATACATTTGTGTATCATCTTTTCTTGTTGAAATAAAAGCTCAGAATTCATGGAATATAACTAATAGCAAAATTTATTTATATGCAGAGGTTAATTTTTAATAAATTTGTTTTTAAATTAAGCAAGATAGAAAAAAACAGTTATTTCAAAATTGTATATAAATAAGAGTTTTGATCTAAGTTAACAGTGAATGATTTCAATCTTTTCACATGCTACATCACATTTTTTAAAGTTGTCTTAAAATAGCTAAACATTTCATTAATGGATCGCCATTAAAAGAACATCCTTGCAGACTCTACTATATTATCATAATTGGAGATCTTCTTTATTTTACATGTTTTCAGCCAATAAACTAAAACCTTGTTGACAGTACATTTTTAAATGAAAGTAAAACTAACCTTTAGTATATGCTGTAAACTTTTCCCTCTGTTCATTACTGAAGAAGCACTTTTCGTACCATGATACTAACTCATTTCTTATGCCATCAATAAATCTTTGCATATTTTGAAATTTTAGAAGTTCGCAGGCAGCAATCTGCTCTTTCAGAGCTGAAATAACCTTTCTTCCATGACCTTCATGATTAAGCTCAAATGCCTCCCTGTCAATGTCAGGAGTTTCCAGTCTATTCCAAAGAGCTTTGAGTTTGTCCCAAAGGTCTGCTGTCTCTTGTTTCATTTCAGAGTCTTTTTTGGATAACTAATAATTTTACAACAAATAACATTTAATTAGGAAAAAAACATCTTTAACACTTTAAAAACAATAGAACAAAAATTAACTTTACCAATAGTTTCAAGACTACCTCAATAAATCAAAATGAATTTATTTTTCACTTTCCTGTGTCTGCTTTTTATCTAATGTATTATGCCCCCCAAAAATTACAAATCAATCAATCAATCATTCAATAAGACTTACAGACCTGTTTAGTCTTACGATTTTGGCGTATAATGTACGATTTTGAGGTTTATACATTATATATACACTGTATGTTTATTTTTTACTATTAAGATAATGTATTAAACGATTTTGTTATGATATTGTACGATTTTAAGAGTTTGAGGGTAAACAGGTCTGGACTTATGACTTACCTCCTCCCACAATCGTTTTAAATCTTCCATGTTTTTTGAGGACAAACTTAAATGATCATCATCTTCACATATCAGATCACGACCTAATGTAGTATCTGGGTCATTCTCCATAGTATGATACAACTCAATAATCTTTGCTTTGGTGGAAACTAATTCTGCATAGCGTTTGTCCTAGTAAATAGAATTTATTTCAATAGAAAATGCTAATTGTCCTAGTAAATAGACATAATTTCAATAGAAAATGTTAATTATCTTATAGATCGTAAAGTTGGAAGCAGAACATTTCACAATAAAGTGAGAGAAAAAGTGAGTGTTAAACACCAATAAATATGGTAGTTATTTTCATTTTACTTTAATTAAAACATTTGTTTTTTTATGTGTGGTAGGGGTTTTAAAGTTATAGGAAGAGCTAACTGTTATAAATTTCAAGCATTCCCCAGCACACTTTGAACAGAAATAGCATGTATCCTGAAAAATGTCTTTGAAATGGCTAAGTGAAATGGTGCTTAAAATCCATGTTAAACACCCAATCAACATTTTACTTACTCTCTCTGCATTTAAATTGACAACATGCTTTTCCATCTCTTTAAGTTGCTCTAGAGTTGGTACTGTCCCAGAAGGGATATAATAAGGAGTAGTTAACATGACATCACATAAGTACTGATCTCTGGTATGCAAGTCTTTATATTTTGTAAGTCTGTCATTCTTTTCTTTGTTCATGGTCTCAACCTTCTGACGTAAAATCTTTTCCTTTTGCACCATCGTCATATTTCCAGGTAACTGTTTAAAATATATTTCAATGGCAACTTCAAAGAAAAAGAAAGCTTAACGCGCATGATAATGATATAAAATGATATGTATAGAATATTTGCTTCAAAGTTAAATAGCAGTTATGAACTAATACTGGTACATTAAATTTAATACAATTAAAGGTTAAATATTAAAACTGTTTACACATAAAATATTGATTGTTATTATTAGCAAAATTTGTATTGTTTCCCTAAATAAATTAATAAACTCAAACACATCCATTGAAAATAGTTGCAGTGTACAGACCTCTATGGGTACAAAAGCAAACATGATCAAGGCAAAAGTTTAATACTTCCCCAAGGTAAATTGGAATCAGAATAATTCTGTTTATCTTTACCGACACTAAGAAAGTACCAACAACCATGGCTCAGAAAAGCCAACTATTAATTTTGTCAATTTGATGTTCCTTCCCGACCCCTCCTAATAATGTATCATATTTAGTTAGCGGATTGATAAATTAAATATTTCTTTAAAGCTTGCTCAACTGCTTCTAAGTTTATGACCTGTTAATGATATATACAAAAACTTCTTTATATAAATTAATATTCTTTTAGAAGGGGATATTTTTCATGAGTAAATAGCTTCCTAAAACTAGATATTAGATTAATGTAATTTGGCAGACAAATTTTTTTTCTTTCTCTACGATTTAATTTATTTTCTGGTAAATAAATTAACATCAATCAAATATGTAAACGCATAGCCATTAAATGGAAAAAAATGAAGCACTCACTTTCACTTGAGGGAGCGAAAGCTCATCACAAAGCTGAGCTAACTTCTCTGAAAAATCTTCTATCGTCTTTTCAACTTTATTCATCAGAAGGACCTCCTCTTTCACCATGTCTTGCATGAGATTTCTTACATGTATGACTGCTGTGTCTCCTCTGGCTTTTTTCTGGCTCTCATCAATTCCCATTTTATCCCAAATCCGATACAACTCTTGAAGTGAAGTATCAATAACTTTTGAGAAAGCAAACCTTGTTTGCTCCCTGCATGGGCTGGTATTACTGGTAATAAAATACAAACACAAAATCAACATCACTTTTATTTTAATTTTAAAAGAATCAAACAATAAAATATTTGTGTCAACATGAATACCTTTTTTTAAAAGTGGTCATCCAGGGGTTTGCCGCCTTTAATTAAGACTTTACAAGTGCATTGACAGTACCTATTGCATTGCGCCCCCCCCCCCCCCCCCCAAACTCTGGTTTTTTCCGGGTTTTTTAAATTTTTTTNNNNGGGGGGGGGGGGGGGGAAAGAGAGAATAGCAAAACAGTGTGCATCATTTATGAATGGCCCCCTAGGCTAAGAATGCTACTATCTTGTCAGTTTTTTCCCCCACAGGTTTTACCCCTGGACAAGAAAAGCTACCTTGCGCAGTTTACAAGACCATTTTAGATGGGTTTGTTGTATTTTACTTAGAACAGTCTTTTTTCAGATGTACACATATGGCAATGAGTCAGAAGAGCTACCATTTTGTGCCATACTGATTTTTACTTTCTCGTAATGACAGTATTAATTATTAGGCCCCTACTAATTACTCTTTTATTCTATTTTCCTTAAAATTTCTTTTATATTTCAATTAGCAAAGAGCCTAGATAATTCAAGTTACGTAATTTTATATGAAAAGTTGTAGGTGGGGCCTACAAATGTCTAATTAATTCTTAAGTGAGAGTGTTAAAAAGAAAGACAGTAGTTTAGATAGCTTAGGCCCTAATTATAAATTCCTGCCTTTCCAAAGTTTTTGTTGACAAATTGATTATAATGATGCTTCCACCGCTTAATTTTAAATATGTAGGCTAATTTAGGGTAGGATAATAATCAGTTGTCACTCTTGAAAAATGGTAAAAAGGGTTCAACCTTTGACTTTGTCCAGATTCATCAACAGTTGTGTTAAACTGTATTGTCTACGTCTATGTATTATTAATTATGCTGCTTAAATTGCTGGGTGGAATGAGCTCATAGTAGCTTAGTTACAGTTACAGCTGCCCTAATAATTCAAAACCATTTTCTTATGAGATTTAGCTCTAAGCTTTTTTAGGCCCAAAGTAGGGTGACCGAACGTCCCGTAAAAACGGGATTCCCGAAAAAGTCTCTCGGGGCGCCTAAATGTCCCATTTTTTAAAACCAAAAACAATTTCAAATCTTCAAGTAATATTTTGGCTAGCTGTGTAGCCAGTGGCAGTAATGTGGGCTCGCATGATGGCTGCACTGTTCCCACCCACCACAGTGTCCCTGCCATAGATCTTATATGTAAATGTATAGCCAGCGAAAGACACAAGACTTGAAGCTGCGATGTGTGTGTGTGTTGGGGGGGGAGAGGAGGCGATATGTTATTTTGATTCAGCTACCGCTACGTGCAATGTGTTAGTCTTGGGTGTGTGATCCCTTCTGGCCTGTTCGTGTCAGGTGTTTGTTTTGGGTGTTGAACTTTATTCTTTAATTTTATATTATCTTCTCATGAAGACAATAACTATGATGCCCAAGCGTCAATGTAAGTTTATGGAGGAGCATTCCAAAGAGTGGAACTATATTAAAAAGGTACGCTATGAAAGTGAATCCGAGTGCACAGTTTGCAATAATGTTTTTAGGATTGTCATGGTGGACGTTCAGACACAAAACAACACATCACATCAGTGAAACATATGACACAGGAAAAGACTGAGTGCCCCAAGTAGATTTCTAGGTTAGATTTCATAGTTAAAATGAGCCTTTTTCAATAAACAGTAAACAGTTTCCAGCTGAGGTCCCTGGACCCCTCTTTAGCTGGAGACTGGTTGTAAAGAATTAGACTTCACTGAAGAAGACAACACTCAGACTCAGTGTAAAGGTGGAGTCATCTAAACAAAAAAAAAGACCAAAATTTGACACTTTATGAACTTTCTCACATTACAGTATATTGAGTACATTTAATTTTATTTAGATTTGTCTAGAGATCATGATGAAATTAAATTATTGTATGTATTAGTGAATTTTAAATAAGTCTTAAGACTTAAAGCGTAGAGTACAGTGCTTAGGGAGGGAAACCAAAGATTGGCAAAGAGGGTCGACGATGTCGCGACCACCAGGACAAGATTGATTAGTCATTAGACAGAGGGGAATATTCACTCACCCTTTTTCTCATCAAATATAAAGCTCATATTTAATAAAAACAACATTTGCCTTGAACAAATTTATATATTCAACTTACCCAGGTACATCCATAATAGCTGAAATGGTAAGGCCGTTGAAATATATAATTTGTGACTATTACTATTATTATGAATAATAAAACATGTCAAGCAACCATTGTTGACTATCCGCAGGTATTTCAAACTAGGCGCATGTGAACTTGCATTTGATTGGCTACCATCTTAAGTTTCCCGTCATTCACCGGAAATGCAATCGCTGTTTCGCTTTCATTTAAAATGTTGCACAGCCCATCACTAGCCTGCATATTGTAACTTCCTTACATGATAATCCCATAAGATGCAGTGTCGTGGGGGAGGGGTTGAAAGGTGAACTCTAAAGTATGCATTCACTCACGCACATGCACACAATATGTAACTATTTGAGCCAAAATTAATCTAGTATTTTGATGTTTAATTAAATTCGGGATCTTTAAATTATAAATATTCTAGTTAAAATGACATATATACTTTTTCATTACCCTTTCTTTCGTCGTGAGCCATATTGGTGGGGGCCCACTTAGTTTTGTCAGGGACTTTACTGCCAAGTTGGTTAGACGGGGCCTTTAGAGAAGGTGCGAGATGGGATGGGAAGAATTGTATCGTTTAATCTCCTTTTTGAGGAATAACGGCGCCCGGGGCGAAGCCTGAAAATGGCACCCACCAATATATAGAAAAACGTATCGCCTAGGGCGGACCAGTAAAATACGACTTTGGCGCCCCTTGTCTTTGTGCACTACATGTGGCTTTGAGTCACTATAAATTAATTCACAAATAACATCTAAAGACGATTTTGGCGCCCCCTACTGTTGGCGCCTGGGGCGATTGTTCCCTTCGTCTCCATTCGCAAGATCATGAGTACTGTATAGGTAGGTAGATGAATTTTTCTGTTAGATTTATGGAAGTCTTTATTGTTATTGTTATGACTCGCTGAGTATATTTCTATGTATCAATATTGAATCTAGAGTAAGTTGTACATCGATATTATTTTATTAAACACGCTTATTTATACAAAAAAACAAAAACACTCAGAATTTCAATAAACCAGGTAACCACACAAACAATGGGATTATGTTGTAAATTAATATTTTTAATAAAGGAGCCTGCCTATCCCTCGAAACATAATTTAACAATAATGATATTTAATTTGAATCTTAACTGGCAGTGTGCATGAAACAATATATTCGGTGTCTCCCCCCCCCCCAGGAAAAAAAAAAAAAAAAAAAAAAAAAAAAAAGAATCCTTGCCGTAAACGCTGCTGGTCTACTACACAGTGGGAAGTTCAACACGTTACCCTGTGTCCATGCCGTACCCACCGGTGAAATGGTGCCTTGGGAAGAACCCGATCAACGCACCATTACAATAAATAGATCGATTGGACCCCGTCCCACCCGCCTCTTGATCCAACAGGTTTGGGCGTGTGTCATACACAGTGACACAGCCGTGTGCAATGGATTAAATAACAGGTTTGGACGTGTGTCCTACACAGTGACACAGCCGTGTGCAATGGATTAAATGCCAACTTAATGGGGTGCGGGGATTAAGCTGGTGAGACACTTTAAAAAAAAACTATACATATAGTAAACACACCAAGAGGGATTACAAGTAAGTTTTGCGGCCTTGCTTGAGATTTAACAAAAAAAATTATTTTAGAATTTGATCTATGCTCTTGTGTGTTGCTTTCAACAGGGAATTAGCCCCCTCATTTTTTTTTTTTTTGTTTACGTCATTGTGTACAGTTTGCCTCAGAAATCTGCATTCTTAAAAAGTTTATTTATTATGTGTTTTAAAATTTCAAATGATTTTTCCAAATCATTTATTTTCTAATACGTACTCCATCATGGTTATTTCTATCGATGAACATTCTCTAGTCAAAATTATACGCCCATAACTTACACTTTTATTTATGCATTGTTTAAAAATAAATAAATGCATGTTCCCATTGGGGATGAACTTGTATAAACGTCTTAATCAAGTAATTCGTTTCTTCCCTAACCGATTGATTGTTTCAATGGTTTTCTTTACCTACAATAGTTTTCATGTAAACTGAATAATCTTATTCATATTCGTTATAAACCACATACTTATGGGCCCTACTGTAATCAGAGGTCCACAAACTTACAGATTTAAGGCGCCTGATTTAAGTATATCGCTTCTAACGGAAATTTATTGTAAAAGAAAATGTATAAAATTTTCTTACTGTTTTTTTTTAAAATTTAACAATAAGAAATGATCATTTACAGTAATATAGAGTATTATTACAGTAAATATATGTAAAATAACATTGCATTTTTATCAGTGTAGTGAGAAGTTTGGACCTTTCAAAATTACATTATTGAATAGATATAAATATGAAATAATTTCAATAATGTCACAGTTTTCCAAATTTATAGTCCCAAACTTTCCAAAAACGGGCTTACATTCCCCTAAATGTTGAAAAAAAACCTGCTTAGACTCATACTGAGCGATATGTACTAAGCTAATATTCTTACAGCTCATTTTTTTATATTTTAAATTTTATGCATCTTTACATTGATTGCTGAGCTAAGAACTGAGAGTACCGTCCCTTCCAATCCGACGCGTAGCCATAGACATAGAGATATATTTATAGCTCTGTGCGCGTAGCGAAGGGGGGCAGGGGGGACAGATGTCCCCAGGCGCCAGCTAGTCAGTTAGGGGCTCCAGAATGTGCTTGAATCTTGTCCCCGGAAACCAAACACTCTAGCTACGCCTCTGTTTCCAATGCTAGCTGTACTAATTGTCATGGGACGAAAAATGGTATGTGTGTTTTTGTGTGTAGGAGGAAGGTGCACCTGGAAATAAGCATATTTTGTTGTAATTGTAAGTAAGATTTCTCTCTCTATATATACATCTAGTATATATGAAAACATCTATGTCCCATTGATGGGTATATAGTGCCAGATTAAGACCCACGGAGGCCCCCGGTTTGCAGTTTGGAGAAGCCCGAGATGGATATCATTACGATACATTACGACAGTACAAGTACGTACAGGATCAAATCAAGTCCCCATCCCCCAAAATTATTAGATCCCTTGTCGCGGAGCCCCTTAGATTCGCGGGGGGCTCTAAAAGGCTCGGTGCCCATAGACACGTGCTTCATTTACCTCTAGTTTAATCCAGCACTGCGGGTTTATTTATATAAACCAAATGATCATTTATTAATATCAAAGTATCGACTTGATGTTCATGTGGGGTGTTTCAAATGTTCAATACAACTGAAGTTGTGTGTTGCAGTTGTTTCAAAATGAACATTAAAATATGTGAACATTAAAACTTTTATTTTTTTTTTTAGAGAAAAAAAAATATATATACAAAAAATAAAAAAAAAAAACAAAAAAAAACAAAACAACACCAGTAAAGGACAAGTATACTTTACATTTTACACCAGTATCGGTTAATGTTCAATACAACTGAAGTTGTGTGTTGCAGTTGTTTCAAAATGAACATTAAAATATGTGAACATTAAAACTTTTATTTTTTTTTTTAGAGAAAAAAAAATATATATACAAAAAATAAAAAAAAAAACAAAAAAAAACAAAACAACACCAGTAAAGGACAAGTATACTTTACATTGTACACCAGTATCGGTTAATAGCACTTTGGCTAAATGCATATTTGGTGTTACTGTCGTCCTTTCATTGTATCAGTTTACACGTCTGTTGGATGTTATTTTATGCTTAACGATTGGCAGCCTGATCGATACCGGCCGGTTGTTGGTACTCAACGGCGGTCGAAGCACCGATATCTCAAATGGCTATCGTTGATTGAATGAAACTTGTTTAGCTATAACAATGCCGTCCTGGCATGCCAGCTATTTTTGTGCACGCCGGCTCTCTGGCACACTTTATCACTAGCGGCATTGGGTTTTTTTTATTTTTATTTTAATTCGCTGGTTATTTAAGTAGAGTAGTAGCGTTAACTATAATTTAAACATAAAACATCGAACTTCTAATAATTATTAATTATAATGGGCGCCCGCAGGGGAGGGGGCAAGGCGGGCACTTGCGGGGGGGGGGGAAGGCGGGCCCTTGCCCCCCCCCCCCCCGGATTGATTGGATACAAAAATTTTAGACAAAAATAGACAAAAAATGTATTAAAGTAAAGAGAAAATAAAGAGAAAGTAACTAAGCTGATGCTGATCTCGTTTTACTGTGTCCTGTCCTTTCATTAAACCATACAAATACGCTACAGTAAATTAAAACTACATTAAAACATCACAAAAAAATGTTGCCCCCCCCCTCTAGAAAGTTTTCTGCGGGCGCCCATGTTAATTATATAAACGATTTAGTTATAGGCTCCCATAAGACCGACAGCTTCCAAAAGAGCTGCTTTTTTCTTTTCAAAGATTTATGCCGTTAGGTATTCGTTTGTTTGTTGTTGTTTTTTCGTTTTTTTGTTTAGCCCCTTGATATTGCGGATAAATTCCTTTAGTTAAAACTTTGCAGGTAAGAGATTTTTATTGTAAAAAAAATCGACTTACAAAAAATCAAAATCACCCCCCACCCCACCCAACCCCGCCCTCTCACCCAACAACTTTTCCTTCAAATTTTGTTCCTTGTATTTTTTTTTGTTTTTTTTTGTTTGCTTTTTAAAAAAAAAAAAATTTCTTGACCAGAATCAGACACGATGGATTTCTCAAAATTTCGCGAGTCTGGTGATCTGAGTGACCTTACGGTGGTGGTAGAATCTCACGAACACAGACTCCACAGATTCCCACTGTACGCCAGGTCCGATTTTTTCTGTGAGCTCACGAGAACCAAGCCAGGGAATGCTGATCCCTCGAGGGTCGAGCTCAAGGATTTCCCGGGCGGAAATGACGTTTTCGTCCAGGTGGCAGACTTTTGCTACAACATGCCGCTCAACATCACGAAAAACAACGTGGTCCAGATCCGATGTGCTGCCGAGTATCTGAAGATGGCCGGTCCCGGGAATCTTGCAGACGTCGCTGATAAATTCTTGAAGGACTCTTTCGCCACGGCGCGGCTGAACCGTTCGGTGGTCAGCATCTCATCACTGCTGGTGCAGTGTAACAAAATAGGACAGCTGGCCCAAGACGCGGGTATCGTGGAGCTCTGCACCGACGCCTTCATCGAATGCTGGGCAAAGCCATCGGGCGCGATGGTCCACATTGGCAGCGGCCGGACCTTTTCCGGAGTCTCCAAGCTTAAAGAATCCAAATCGGCTTTCACGAGGATTCAAGATTCGACCCCACCTGGCCAGATGAGCTCCGACAAACTCGAGGAAGCCAGCGTTAAGTGCCTGATGTCTCTACGATCAGGCTGGTTCGTTAGGATCCTCACCAAAGCTAAAGATAAAGGCATTAGCCTCCAAGAACTGGGAGCGCTTGCTGTCAACTTTATTTCCTGTCATCTTAATCTGGAAACCCATAAAAATGGCATTTCTCAGAGCATCGTGATGTCGTCAGCTGCGGGGTCGTCGGAGAGGGTTGACGTGTCAACGGACAGCGGGGCAAAAGATGCAGACGCCAGCCCCAGGCCGGGAACTGATAAGCAAGGATTAACGACGACAATCACCTTCATGACTGAAATTTCTGACCTGACTACATCGCCGGTCTCTGACTTTCCCAAAGTGACTGAGGACATCGGTGAAGTGATTGACAGGGTGTTACTTGCCCTTCCTGAAAAGGCTTATTCTCTACCATCTGTAACCATGGAGTGGTTAACAAAGGTGGGTGCATTTTGATTGTGCGTTGTTGTTTATTTTTGTGTCAATGAGATATCAATTGTAGAGTTTTGTAATATTTTAACTAATAAGTTGAAAACATCAATTTTCATTACTGCAGATACTTTAATTGTTCTAATATAAGCTCATAAATTTCTTTATTATTTTTGATAGAACCTGGGGCTGGAGAAAAGTAAATGTTAATGTGATGGTTTGACTGAAATATTGGCAGATTTAAGTTATTTCCCCGCATCGTCATGGCTTCGATTTTTATAAGCTTTAACTCCCAACAGTCATCTACAGAACGTTGATAGTGCTTTATACTATACTATTTATTTATAACCCTTCATACAATGGCGGCCGCAATACATGAACTTCCCATCGACCAAAGTTAATGGCAAAACACGCATTCAAGCAGCTCACTTTAGAAGATGCCGATTAGTTCTACCAATCCCGCCACCACCACCCCCCATTACGCCACCGCCCCTGAACTATATTAACATTCTAATGCCCCACCCCTTTTTACACCGCAGATCTATTACAACAACCGCTTCCGTAAAACAAAAGAAAATATTACGCGTCAAACGAGCTTGCGCGTCAAACGAGCTTGCGCGTCAAACGAGCTTTCGGTATTTTCAATAATCTCATTTAATTAGCGCAGTTATCGGGAATTTTTGTGTGTGTGAAATCAGCGCCTTATGGTAGCGTTAGTGATATTTTTATGTAGAGAAGTATTTATTTTGATTAAGATCTTTTGCATTGGAAATCATTACGCTCCTATCAGCAAACCCACCAAAAGATGCTCGGGCAAAAATGTGTTTTTATTGGCAGCGCAAGGTTTGACTTGAGTTCGTATACAAAGCGTTCGTGGAATGGCTCTGTTCATTTGAAGATAATCTATAATGTGCTTAACTTGCTCCGATTAATTTGTGTGGACCCAAATTATCGCCTTAAAAAAAGGGGGTGGGGGGGGGGGGAAATCACCGTACTCTGTATGCAAATTCCTTGCATCCTTAGAAAACAGACACCCACAAACAAATTAAACCAATCGTGGTGGATCATTTCAAATCAATAACCAGCGATTATTTAAAAAATGGAATACAAAATGTCAGTCTTCAACAACAGCAATAAAAAAAAAAAAAATGCACGTCATAATTTTGCTGACACACGAAAGTTTCAACGACTTTCACGATTGTTGGGTCCGTCAAAAGTTGACACAAAAATCAATGGAGATTGAAGCTCAAATGGACGAGGAAAATATACCAAGTCCCTTGGTGCGGTCTGGTCGGGAGTTGTATGGCGGAAATGCTGCATGAAAATTAAGTCTCGTTAAAAAGATTTACACTGTTCGACAGGCGAGACTAGGTCAGGAAAAAAAAATCCTTGAGTCGATATCTTTCAAGACATGATTTGCTCCCAAACTGTCATGAAGGATGCATAACTAAACTTGGAATGGGCACACCATAGACCCTATATAGGGCGACCCCGAGAGCTAAATATGTTCAATGTAGATTTTCCTTTTAACCTCTTAAACTGCATGGCACGACGGGAAATCATCATAGTATTAACTGCCATCTCTGAATTCTGGTCATGAAAGTCAAAACGAGGTTGTTATAGTATGTGACGAAATAATTGGAAAATAAAATTTAGAGACTTTCCAGCTATTGTTGTTTCCTAGTTTTTAATTTTGTTTGTAAAAAGCGGACGTTATATTAGTATTTTCTTAGTTGAATGTGATTATGACTTTATCGGTGAATTACATCGATACAAATGAACCAAATTCCCTAGAGTAAACTTAATTTCCCAGAGTGAAATGGTCTTAGAGCACAGTCACGCATGCATCATTAATCTTATCAGTTTTAACTTTAAAGTTGCAAGGTGTTAGTAATGGCGTGGTCAGCTTTTCAAAGCGATATTATAAATAAAGGTTTATTCAGAAAATAACGGGGCACAAAAAAACCCGTGTTTTTTATTTGAATGTTTCATCCCCCTCACCCCCCACCCACCAAAAAAAAACAACAACAAAAAAAAACAACAACACAGACACAAAAAACACGTTTAAACGTTTCTTGGACTCCGACACATAATTTGAGATACCGTAATAAAGAAATGCCCCATGATGCACGAATGTCAATACCCGCTATGATAAAAGAATGTGACTTGAATATGATTTGAGTCCCTGGAACACATTAAATAGACCATTTGTAGCCGAACCTGGGTCATGTTTGTAACATTATTATATACATATTGGAACAAGGTAGGTTGAGAGTTTGAAAAAAAAAAAGAGCACAATTAAAAGGACGTTTCGGCTAAATGCCTTCTTCAGATGATAATACAAAACATAGGGTTAAAAATATTTGAAATTAAAACATAAGGTTTTCCCAGAGCACACTGTTGTTACATTTTAATGTGTTCCACTATTTTTTTTTTACTGTCTATGTACTTCTCACACGTCTTGAATGCACCCCCCCCCCCCCCCCCAACATATTTTATCCTTTTAATTTGACAATTCGTTTGTCATAGTAGTTTTACTGATCAATTTCTTTTTTTAAAGTCATTATTTGTCTTGCCCGCCCACTTTTGCAAACTAGACACCCTTGGCCATCGTTGCCCAAATACACTGTATGTCTTAAAATGAATATTAGGCCTATCTAATAAGATTGTTCTCCTCACGACCCATAAACCCCTGCAATGCCCAGATCATACGTGTGGCCACCGCTCACAGCTGTCAGTGCAGAGGACTCCTCGTGAGCATGGCCGCCGAGATGATGGCCAAGCTGGAGCCCGAGGAACTGTGCGCCGTCTCCCCGTCTGTGCTCCACGACGTCGTGGTCGACCTCGACAGCGAAACCAGTTCCGGTCTCCAGAAAGAACGTGCCTGCAAACTCGTGGACACCTACATGGGTCAGATGACGTCAAAGGTATATCGTCCTAATTTTAAAAAAAAAAAAAATAGCTATACGTCATTTTATAGTGTCTCCGGAATGCGACCCATGTATCAAAATATTTATTGCTCGAACACGTTAAAAAAAAAAAAAAAAGCTATACGTCATTTTATAGTGTCTCCGGAATGCGGCCCATTTATCAAAATATTTATTGCTCGAACACGTTCGTATTTTTTATTTTTTTTTGGTGGGGGGGGGGTCATCCACAGAAGACGTCCAGTGGCGTAGCTAAGGAGTGCGGACAGCAATGGATGACACCATTTTAAGGGGGACACCAAATTAAAAATTGCAATTTTAGATACCAAACACTGTTCGGTTTAACCGAGGTTCATAAATCGATAACCGATCACACGTCAATTTTGCACACATGTAACTAATCCGAATGTGTGTTTTATAAAAAGCTCAAGGTTGATGAGTCAGAAATGATGTGACCCTTTAATTAGGTCAGAAAAACACCGCTTTGACAATGACTCAACACCGATTGAAGTATTCAGTAGCTTCCATAAGTGACAGGGAGCTATATTTATCTAAATTCTGAGAAATAAACTCTTCCATTGATACCAAATACGCTGTGGTCGGGCGATTCTAATTACATTTTACAGTTCTTAAATACATTTACCGCCTGACCTTCAATTAATTTGTTTTTGTCATTGTTATAATGCGGACTTAGTTCAACAAGAAGAAATCCACCGTGGAAGGGGGCGACACCGTGTGTTTACCGCCGTGGGTGACACCAACCCTTATAGCTACGCCACTGAATGCGTCATAAGTATAGTGGGAAGGGATCACATGTATGCTACGGTTAATGAAAAGTGTGTCTAATTTTTGTTTAAAATAATAATTATATATATGACGATTGGGGTGGGGGGAAAAAGGTGGGGGACATCAGCTAAATGAACCGGACGTCATGCACAGATGACCCATTTAATCCTGCAGCTTTTGTTTCAAGTCTTAAATCTATAACATCACTGGGCGCGGTAAATAACTGCTCATTGAAAAATGTGGTAGTACCCACAACGCCCATGATGACGCACTAACAAACAACGTAACATTCCACAAAGGATTAGACTGAAAGGCTTCCCACACTTTGGGGTCTTATCTTACGACTAAATGGCCACACATCAAAGAGTCAAAGTCATTACCATTGTGTGTGAAGAGCTTGCAAAGTTTAACGTTGCCTGTAAAGGAAGGTTAGGACATGAAAGATTGATATTATTTGCCAAACAATGGCATGTAGAAAAGGTCAGACAAACAAAATTAACTGGGTGGGGGGGGGATATTAAGTTTGAATTAGTAAATAAAAGGCTAATTTCAAATTTAATATATATATTTGTTACTCACTTGATTTTATTTCATTGTATATTTTTAAAAACCATAAAAAGTAGAAAACATAGAAAATAAATTTACAACTAACAGTTAAACAGCTTGGGCGTAAAGGGGGGGGGGAGGGGGATGTTTGTCCATAAAGTTTGTCACGCTTTTTCTGGATAATTTTACCCCTCCCTTCCCCTTTCTCAAATCTCAACCCCCACCTCTATTTAAAGTACATGTCACACTTTCGAAATTAAAAAAAAATTGTTAAACAATTTTTAAAATGAATTCAATTAAATCTAAAACGCACTGCCCGGTGAATCTGTTATATTAATGAAAGTGACAACTTCTGTCAGAATGCATCCGTCACAGCAGAAAGTTCAAGATCACTGTCAATTTCAGATTATGTTTATATGCATAAATGACAATGACATTTTAAAATGTAATGACTTCACACGAGATCTTTACCCGCCCCTGTATCACCAACTAAATGTATCACATTGTCTTGGATCCCAGGCCGGAGCTTGACGTACTGTATGGACGGCCACTTTAAGGTTTGTGAGGTGCGAGGGTGATATTGTCTCTACCCAGCCCCACTCTGGTTAAGAGCAGTGGCGTACTTAGGGTTTGGCAGGTAGGACAGATGCCCTGTGCGTCACTTGAAAGGGGGATGGGGCGCCAACCCCCCCCCCCAAACAAAAAAAAACAAAAACACAATTTCTAATAATTCAATAGTTATTCACAGCTCTCAGTGTTTACACTGCTAAGTTACAACACTATAACAGTAATGGACCCAGTATATTATTACATCCTTTGAATTTTCATTTCAAATGCGTTTAAAAGACTTTTCAATTCTGCACTACAAACAAAGTCTTTAAAAGTAGCCGCAAAATTTAGCGATTGCTAATGCAAATGACCAAAAACAAAAACAAAAATCTGACCCCCCCCCTTTCCTCTCCTGTCATGGGCGCCAAATACCCTAGGTACACTTCTGGTAACGAAAACCACAATGCTCCCCTCGTACTACGCTAGCTGTTATCTCAGCAACGTACAAGTAGACCTATACGTTACTAATTCCGTATCATGATTCAGGGTATCCTTACAGCGGAGACATTTCGACTCCTGGCCTCTGCCACCAACACAGCGACGCGGACCTCCCACGACCCCCTGTTTGAAGTGCTGGAGTTTGTCCTAAAGTCGGGTATTTAGCTCTATGTCTGTCGTGGGAACACGACTTTGTCTACTCCAATGTTAACTGTTTGTTGTTTGAAGTTCCGGAAACCCAGGGATTATGGTCCAGCCTTGTGACGTAACGGTGTTTAGCAATCTGTTCCAAGCGGGTGGCAGTCCTTAGGTGGGCGTGGCACTGATTGTCAAATGTTATCATTGTCTTAAGAAGTTTTTTTTATTTGTTTCAAAAGTATGGGGGGGGGGGGGGGGGGGTCTTTTAAACATTAATTTTAATGTCTGGTGTATATGTTACAGAATAGTTGTGAATTTTTTTTTTTTCTTTTTTTAAAAAAATGAAAATTTAAAAAAAAACCTTTTTGGGGGGGGGGGGGAGGAGGTCTATTAAACATTAATTTTAATGTCTGGTGTATTTGTTAAAGAATAGCTGTGAATTTATTTATTTTCATATTTTAAAAAAATGAAAATTTAAAAAAAAGCCTTTTGGAAGTCAGTTTATAAATCAAAGCTACACAAATTAGTTATATTGTTATCTTTAAAAACAAAGATAAGTAAAGCATTTCATTATCAATTTGAGATTTCGCGAAAAGCTTTATTTTTAACTAATAACTTTAAGTTTTCCAATCCCTTTAAAGCTTATTTTTCATTGAGTCTTTTGATAGGGGCCTGGACTCAAAGTTCTCTCTCAGATATTTTACTGTATTAGTCATAGATAATTCTTCCTGGGATCTATGACTAAATCTGTAATGGATATTGCGTTACATTTAAAATTTAACAACACTGCGTTGGCTGAAGACTTTTTAAAACACATGTTTTAAATTGATATGAGACATTGATGAGCTGCATTGAAAGGTTCAATCTAACTGTATACGTCCGTTCACGGTCAGAGACAGACAAGCTCACCCCGGCGCAACGCACCGAGCTCACGGAGCTGGTCAACTTCGACCTGCTGTCCGAGACAAGCCTCCAGAAAGCTCTAGAAGACGAGATCGTCCCGGCCAGCACCGTCGCCAGGAGCTCCATCAAGCTGTGCTCCCGGCTTCGCTCGGAGCTCGCCTCGGTGAAGTACATCGCTGAGTCGCAGGAAGAGGATCTGCACAAGTATCAAGGCTCGTCGGCGCACGCTGGTACCGGCAAGTACCCATCGTCTGCAGCAGAGGTCACCAGGCATTTCAGCTCTTATGCATTACGTGATAGAAATCTGGACTCGGGTACGTCGTAAATGTGTAAAAATAAATTAATACTAAAAACACGACTCTTTACTCTGGCCATCTCCGTGGAATTAGAGATCTCCCTGGAAACGATAATAAAGTTAAGAATTTTTAATGAAATAAAATCCCCCCCCCCCCAAAAAAAAAGACACGCGGTTCCAAATGTCAGCATACAGACATATATAATTATTCACGGCCCCGTAAAATTTACCGATACCCATGGTCTGCAGCAGAGGCCACCAGGCATTTCAGCTCTTAGGCATTACGTGATAGAAATCTGGACTAGGGTACGTCGTAAATGTGTAAAAATAATTTAATACTAAAAACACGACTCTTTACTCTGGCCATCTCCGTGGAATTAGAGATCTCCCTGGAAACGATAATAAAGTTAAGAATTTTTAATGAAATAAAATCCCCCCCCCCCCAAAAAAAAAGTCACGTGGTTTCAAATGTCAGCATACAGACATATATAATTATTCACGGCCCCGTAAAATTTACCGACACATTTAAATACTAAGCTTAAATTAAGAGATAAAATATCTGAAATATATATTGATTTCAAAATAAAATTTGACCCCTTCTTTAATTAATTCTTCCCCGCCAAGGTTTATAATTTTAAAAAAACAACAGACTCTCCGTATTTCTAAGAAATCATGCCGGCAAGTAATGTCAGGAAACCCTGTGAATGGATTCTTAACTTGTGCGACTTCAAAAGCTATTGAAAAAAAAAAAAACCAACAAAAAACTGTAAAGAAAAAAAAGGCCCCCGAGAAGTGTCATATAAAGTATTTGAAGCTATTTGTTAAGATTCATAGGTTTGCTCCTGCTGGTGGTCGTCTTGAACCAAATGTATAATAACATGATTCAAAAGTGCTGTTTTTTGTCGGCAGGCTATGCAGATACGAGTGAAACAAGCAGGGGCAGATCACCCGCTGAGCTGTTACTGGCGGCGGAACTTGAAACGTCCGAGCACCTCCACAGCTCAGACCCACTGAGGGCGGCTCAGAGCCTGCTGACCGCGGCCCGTCACAAACTCGCGGTCCCCGTCTACACCGGCTACCGGCCCACCCATCTGTCTCGTCTGCTACCCACATCGCCCGCAGTCCTGCCCTACGTCTACCATCCCCACAACAGCAGCAGGGATGCAGTGGAGCACGACATCAGCCTGGAGGAGGAGCTGGAGTTCAAGTACGACCGATCCTTCCGCAGCCTTGACCCCAGGGTGCGCCACCACCGGTTGTGGGGTCACCAACTTGCTAGTCAGAGTGGTAACGCCCAGAAAAGCGGGACTTACTTCCCTTACACCAACTACCATCGATTCTAAAAAAAAAAATTAAAAATAATAAAATTAAATTTAGAAACTGTTTGACGTCAGCACAATGGCACACTTAATATCAATGTATACTTCCCTAGGTTTCTAGCGATTAAAAAAAGGATATAGCACCCAATTTATTTAACGGAAACCACCCTAAACTGGAAAATATTGAAGACAATTGTAATTTCTTCTTCTGTTATTAGAAAGTGTTGAGGTGACAGGGACTTGAAAGAAATGGCGTGAATAAGATATATAGAGTCGCTCTATACATGAAGTCTAACAGATGTAGTTAGTGAGTCAAGCTGAAAGTCATGCATTGTGCTTAAAAATTGAAAAGATTCTAAAGTTGTTGTCTCCGGCGCACTTCATAAAGTACTTTAGACAAGTAGCGTCACAAGGGGGTACGAAGGGGTGGACCGCGCGGGGTGACACCCTCGTAGGGGCTGACAACGATTGGAAATGTTAAATTTAATAATTTTACAAATTCAATTGTTTCTGTATTAATTAAGATGAAAAATTGTATACTATTGTCTATACTTTTGGAAATTAAAAACAAAAATTACTGATTTTTTTCAAGGCAGTTTCATGGCTGAACTCAGTTAAATACAAGAGACGCGTGCTCCCAGATCAGGGTGCGACCGGCAATGTTCCCTCTAAGGTTTGTTGATTAGTGTGCAAAATCATACAGTTGTGTGCAAAGTTTTACAGCCCACAAACAAAAAATTACATGGAAATTTGCTGCACGGATACTCAAAACTGCTACACGGCGTCTGAGATAGCTGCGCAGCCGCGTAGCTTAAAGGGAACATTGGCCACCGGAGAAGGTTGACACCATTGCAGGATGACACCATATCAGGGTGACACCATAGCAGGCAGACTCAGATGAGGTTTATGGGGAGGTCTGTTGGGGTGACGTCATGAGTATTCTGCACTTGGTGATACCAACCCTAAAGAAGCCATGCACTGCTTTAGACTACGTAACTTTATCATTGAGATGGGGATCAAAAGGTATTAGATGTCAAATTAATTTTTAAGATGAATTTTTTAATATGGAGTCGGAGCAAATAGCTAAAAATGATCGGAGAGCATATCTGATGGGCGGATTTTGCAACGGCTGATTATTATAGCCTCATCAAGCAGGGGCGTCATTTGGGTAGGGCAGGGTGGGGCATTTACCCCATCTCCCCCTGAATTTGCAGGTTTTATTTAAATTGCTATGTACTGTGGGCCACCAGTAATAAACAAATTAACAAGCCGACCAAGTTTGAGTTTTGTCCCGTCCCCTCCCCCCTGAAAAAAACCTGTAATGACGCCCCTGTTATCCAGCCCCATCCTAGGGATTTCCTTTTGTCTGTGATATTGTATATACTGTTCTCTTTTCCAATATGTTGATGTTTTTATTGTGTATTATTGAGCCAGGTCTGCCTCTAAGCTTTTGCCAATAAATTATATGCCATTCTTAAAATAACAAGTAATAATTTTACAGATTCAATTGTTTCTGTTTTAATTAAGATGAAAAATTGTATACTAGTGTCTATACTTTTGCATAGTTTAACATGTGTAAACGGACGTTGTGCCACAATCTTTTTTTTTTTTGTCACTGCCGATCCAAGTTTCACTACATATTTTTACATATAGGCCAAGTTGGTGTATTGAAGATCGTTCTAATTTGGAAATGATCAAACGCCCCATTACACTGACTACTAACTATTACGCAGTTAATATTTCAAAATTGTTTCCTTAGCTGGTGCCTAGAACAAACCCTGGTCAACACAGTGTCGTTCTATGATTTTTTTTTCTTCTGTTCACGTTCTTACTTAATGATTGAGTTTTATGCACCAAAGTATTGTTTCACAGTAGACTGCAGTTATATATGATGTATTTATACTAATTTTAGTATTGGATCCCGGGAGAGATTGAGTCGTAAAAATTAATAAAAGTCTATATGTAATATTTTTTTTTAAAAATCTTACATCATTTATTGGATTAAATCAAGACACGAGGTCATGCGTATCTCAGTTGTACCGTTGTACCCCATGGATAAATTACTTAATATACTTATATGGAAATATTAATTACTGGAACTTTGAACCATGGATTCTCCAAATATAAAGCTTATATGACAATGATAATAAAACGCACACATCTGTGTAACCCATGGTGTAAAACAAAATGGTTTGCAATGTTATAATATTGTAGCATTTAACTTTAGTTGAGGAAAAGTTGATATGATTTAAACAAAACTATAAGTCACATTTGTTTAAATGTTTGGAAAAAAAACAAACATGACTTTATTAGAAAGCATAAAATTGATGTTGTACTAGAATTTTGTCTTTGTTGTTTCTTTGTGAGGCATGATTTGCTGGAATGTTGATTTTTTTTTTTTTCTGTTCAAATCACTTTTTGTTTGTTTTGTTATGACGCTTTTGTTCGTCCTTCGCACGCGAAGATCAACAAGGTCATTTTCTACTTGATTAGTAGCCATAACTTGAGCTGTATTTTGATTAAAGTGAAGGAGAGTTTCTCAATTCGCCAGCCCTTCTCTCTCGTCCTTGCCCATTTGATCCCATGGCAAGAATTAGTCCAGACGTTTTGAAATGGTCCAGGATGCAGTAGATGAACATCAGTGTGTGTGTGTGCGTGTTTCACTGTGCTCTTTATGCGTTCTACGTCACGGGAGTCGGAATTTTCATTGTGTCTATGTCATAACGTCCATGGGACTCCCTCTCCGGGTTTGATTTGAGAGTTTTGTTTTATTTTGTTATGCTCGATGCCAGACGGTAATTGGCACACATCCCTACAATATTACATTGTCCTTAATTGATCCAGGAAAGTGTGCTCTGTAGTTTTATTTATATCAGTGCTCTTAACCACTTTCTCTACCCCTAACCAGCCGCTCGTGCGAGCATTAAAATGACTGAAGTTCAGCATTAGTATTATTTAATTTAAAAAAATAAAAATCTTGCTAAACTAAAATATGAAATGAAATTATTTGCAAAAAGAAGCTATCAAGATGACATCCAACATAATCTACCCCACTAGATTTATCTTGAACAATAAATGGAAATACACATTTTAATTCCTTAAGGAACATGACCGATTGACCTCCACTCAAAACTGCATTCATGTAAGATCATATGACTTTCAGTTTTAATCAAATAGAAACAGTCTGAAAGAAAGAAGAAAAAAGTGTGGGGGACTGGGGAGGGGGGCGGGGGGGGGGCTGCATGCCATGTTCTGGTTAGTTTATCAAAAATTAAAATGAAATAGTAGAACGAGGTATATGTTAAGTTTGAATGAATAGACAGGACAATAAGATTTGTTTCGTTAGAGCTTTCAGCAAACAAGACAAATAGAAAATAAGACAACAAAACAAGCAAGGTTGTTAAAAATATCCAAGTCATGACATCAATATAAACATTCACCAATACGTTGATTGTTGTCTTCTAAATAAACAAGTAACTAATTGACTTTTTTCTCTAATAACATTCAATACATAGCAATTTATCGTAACTCTTTAAAAAATCATCTGAGAAACCATAACAGGTCTGCAGATTAAGACGCCTATACTGCAATACCAGTTTATTTGTTGTTGTTTTGTTGTTGTTTATTTATTTATTTATTATTTTTTTTTTTGGGGGGGGGGGTCAGGGTTGGGGGGGGGGGATTTTTGTTTGGTTGAAGGCTGAAACCAAATTGGGGAGAGTACCCACCTTCTTCCTCAAAAGATCAAACATTTTGGTAAAGTTTTTGTTTTGCTCTCGAACTCTACAATNATCTTTTTTTAATTTTTTTTTTTTTTTTTTTTTTTTTTTTTTTTTTGTTCTAAAGAACCTGCCTGAAGTGCTGTATTCTCGAAGTCTTTTTTACTTGGGAAACGTATTGTTTTCAACTGACTGATAGTGGCACATATCAGTTACCATTATTTTAAAAAAAGTGTACACGCTCATCAGGTTTGTAAGGAACATTTGATGATCAACAAACTGACCAATATATCTCACTATTTTGAAAGCGTATGCGTAACTAACATTCCAAACATAAACTAACGAAGTTGCTGAGTATTCCGCTTAGAGTGATAAAGTCGTGCGTTTTTCGGAACGAAATTTTGCTTTTCTCTTACGTCATTCAGCCACGTCATAATTTGTGACGTTTTGTCTAAATAGCCTACAATCTCGTAGTCGTCTGCTGCCTCGGCCACCGTTTTTGTCTCGGAGCCAGCTTTTAGTATGGAAGGGGCTGAGTTAGGAGATTTGGGTAATCTCCCATTGTCCTCAGTGCTTATATCAGTTGCTGGAATTTTGTATCCGAATCGACCACTCGAAGCAGCAGACCCCTGCCGAAGTGTACTGTTTATAAAATTTCGATGTAGGATATTTTCCGAAGGGAGCCTGTTAGCGTCGACACCGCATTCGTTTACGCTTACCCCTATGATTTTTCCGTCGCCGGTGATATGCAGTTTTGTGAGGCTTTCTGGCGATTGCTGGAGTTCAACTTTTTGGGGCAAACCCACATCTCTCAGCGCCGATCCTGCACTGGAGGGAAATCGCCCGGCCCTGAAACGAAACGTGGACTTCCGCTGGGGTAAACCCACAAACGCTTTCGTCCAGGGGCTGCTGTATCTTTTCACTGGATCGGGTTTGCTGTAAACAATGCTGTGTTTGCTGCCATCATTGACCGGAAGCCGGTCTTTAGTTCCTTCTCCCAAAGCCGGCCGGAGGGATTCGTTTGGTTCTGGCTGAATAATATTTGAAGAGTTTTCATCGAGCTTATTTATTTTCTGTTCTTCTGGCTTCATTTCAAGACCAGAATCCGTTTGACTGTTTCGTCTGTTATTGTCTAGAACACATTGGGAACATTTAAACTCCGCGCCGTGCATGCACCGTGATTTGATGTTTTCTTCTTTCACGCCGGACCTGCTTATTTCGCATTTACGGTCCTGATCGCCAGTAGGTAGTCTTTGAACTGAGCTTTTCTGAACACACTGCGAGCACTTAAATTCTGCCATGTGCATGCACCGTCCTGAACCGTAAACTGGTTTTTGGGCACTACTTTTGGCAACGATGCTTTTCCCACTCAGTAGTGGCAGCGCTGGGGAGTTCAAATTCCCGAGCAGTTTTTTCATGTTCTGCTTGGCCAGCTCATCCAGCGGGTAAGCGAGTCTCAGTCGGTTATGGTGCGCGTCCGTCGACCGGTCGTACTGGAAATTGTGCCCCGTCGCCGCGGGCTCTTCTTCTTCGGTGTGATTCACTTCGCAGCCACCAAAGGTGACACGTTTCTTGTCCCTCTGCGCGTTGGTTGAGCCGCTGATGGGCCGGGTGGAGGCAAAAGAGTCAGTGTATTGGCTGATCCGACCAGTGTCATTTTTGTCGGCCTCGCTCGGTACTTTCAGGATACTTTTTATCGTACCCCCAGGCCTTCTGAGCCTCGGCGAGTGCAGGGAATTAATTTTGCTGGAGGGCAGTGGGGTCGTCCAGTCCAACCAATCTAACGGAAAAACAGCGTGGCCTGTTTTGGTTATTCTTCCAGGGCCGATGACTTTCCTTGGGTTCGGCTCGGAATCATAGCTGCTGTTATCGTGGACGCTGTTGGTGTAGTTCAGCTCACTGTAAGGGGATTTCCAATACGACGACATTGTCAACTAACCAACAGGAAGGAAACTTGTTTAATCGTAAGTGAAGACAGAACGCTTTATAACAAAGTCATGTGGGGAAGACATCAAGAAACATGATTTGTGGACCGTTTTACCAAGAGTTTTAAACAGTTTTCTTGTCGGTCATTCTGAAATTAAAATACAATAAAAAAAATAATTTTAAAATTGAACATAAATACGTTAAAATTAATTAATATATTCTAAACTGAACCAATCATAGTTATATACTAAACTGAGCCAGTCATGGTTATATAATAAACTGAGCCAGTCATGGTTATATACTAAACTGAGCCAATAATAGCTAAATACTAAACTGGAACAATCGTAGGTAAATACTAAACTTAGCCAATCATAGTTAAATAATTTAATTTCTGAAATTGGAATAGAAGTAACAATTATTTATTTTTTAAAATCGGGAACCATTATTACCATAAAAAATAATACATTATTATCTAAACTGAGCTACACATTGTTAATCACTTAAAATTTTCCAAGCCAACTTTTTTTCTTCCAAATATATGTTAGTGAGATTTTTTTTAAAAATTTGTTGACAGAGCTGTAGAGAGTAATTAGTAGTGTCTAATTTAAGAAGAAATGCAACCCGAGTTTGATTCATTTACAGCTCCAAAACCAATGAACAAAAAACTTCACACTATAATTAATTAGTTTAGGTGTCGCGTAGGGCAAGAAGGAAATGTTTGCATCACCAAACAATTTAAAACATAAACGTCCTATGTATCTAAACTGTGCGTATATTGAAAAAAAAGGGGGGGGGGCGTGTATTGGAGGCGGGCGGGCCATTGTAGCCATTTAAAAAAAGTATCGCCATCATGGGAGTAAGAACTTGTGTTTGTAATAATTGTTTCAATACATAACTTTTGGTGTTACGGTCATAATCAATATAAAATGCTTACGGGGTAGACGGAGTCGTCCTCACGCTGTACGACACCCTACTACATAGTCGTCCTCACGCTGTACGACACCCTACTACATAGTCGTCCCCACGCTGTACGACACCCTACTACATAGTCGTCCTCACGCTGTACGACACCCTACTACATAGTCGTCCCCACGCTGTACGACACCCTACTACATAGTCGTCCTGACGCTGTACGACACCCTACTACATAGTCGTCCTCACGCTGAACGACACCCTACTATATAGTCGTCCTACTGACATGATCAATGTGAAAGCGAAGGAAGTGGATTTCAGATTTCACCATTAAGTTTCAGTGTCTAGTTACCATAAATTTTTCAACACGCCAGGTCTAAAGGTCTGTTATGACGAGAAATCCTTTTAAAAAAATTAACATAATTTAAACCTAATTCATGGTATAGCATGAGAAGTCTCAAATCAGAATAGCCTAAGTTTCGTTTGAGAATTTTACACACACAAAAAAAAAATCAACAACCATCTGTAATCCATAAACATTCAATGACTGGAATAAGAATCTTCATAACAAAACATTAGACAATACGCACCTCTTATCATAAGTCACTAAGTATCATCAAAAGAAAGTTTCACCACAAGTATTGCATGCTTTTAGGATCTTAATTATACGGAACTGTTTCTTGAGCAGGGGAGTAAAAACTAATGATTTGATATAAACACGTCAGGATTACGAGATCGATCGTTGGTGAACAACCTTCGC